GTTCATGCAAGACAGCTCAAGAATGTACAGGAACTGGAGACATTTTGTCAAGAAGAATGGGCAGCTTTACCATCTGAGAAGATAAAGTGTCTCATCCACAACTATCACAAAAGACTTCAGGCTGTCATTGATGCTAAAGGAGGCAATACAAGGTATTAAGAACTAGGGTATGTAAACTTTTGATCTGGGTCATTTGGGTATTTTCTGTTGTCATTATGATGTAAAAAAGGCAAACACAATTGTTTGATAATAAATGGCTTCACCCAACCACTAACCACGAGTGACAGAGAGGTTATTGTGTTATCATTCATATTCTCTGAAAAATGGCCAAAACATCACAAATTCTGCCAGGGTATGTAAACTTTTGAGCACAACTGTATATTCTCCTCTTGTACTGGTCTGAAGGGGTATAACACCTAACAGGTCTAAAACTCTTTCATTAGTACTGAAAACAAATTTGACAGCACATATTCAAACAAGTGAGGTATTTGTGAAAGTTCCATTCCATTCAAAACACAGACTTCCACAGTGATAGGCCCGTGTTTAGCAGGTCATGCTATAGTTACATAGAATCCAGAATCACACACCCAGTCCTTCCTTCTGGTGCTCTGTCTGAATGGGGTTCTCTCATGCATGACGTTTCTATTCATGTGGATTTTTGTGCAAGGATTTTCAGAAGGAAGGGCTTCTCAGGTCTTTTTAAACCAGGGACCCCCAAATAAAGACACAAAGATGAAATATTCTTGCTGGTCGTAGTGCAATTTATTACTTATATTTCATTGCATTATGACCAATGAGAGCGATATTTCTGCCAGGATATTAGATGAATTAGATATTTCAGCCTGCGTATTAGATTGTGACTGATTAAAATGTCTCCCCGATATGCCTTTAAGGAGAGATTGTATCATTTTACAGTGCACATTCTGTCAGTTGCAGTTGTTTGGCTCATACACGCATCTGAAGTTGTTTTGTCAGGCAAATCTGTTTCGACACACCAATAAACCAGTAATAGCAAATAGTAGGTAGTGCCTTGGATTTCTTCCTCTACCCCTTTCGCGCTCTCGTCCAAACATGCAATGCGCAACAAACAACGCATTCCCTATGCGTCAAAGTAGCAGCATGGATGTTCTGGCAGTTGGTCCCTAAAAAGAATTCGACTTTGGTAATATGGAACTTCTTTGGATTTTCCAAAATTGACAAAGCACAAACAAAAAAAATATTTGCAAAATTTGTAAAGATAAGCTTGGGGATGGCAATGTGACAAGCCTTTTTTACCACCTCAAATAAAACACCCAGAAGAGTATGGCGAGTATGTTTTGGTTTTATTACCTTATAGCGATACATTTTTTTAAATAATGTAATTTGTTTCGTTGCACTGTTCAGTGCTCAGTAACTTGCAAAATTCTCCTTAAAATTAACATGGAGAAGAATCATGATGATGGATCATGATCATGCCAGAAAAAAAACTGATACGATATTTTTGCCATTGTGTTCACCCCTACTCCACGCACATACATGTAGCTGAAACTGGCAATAAAAGATAAAACATCCCTTCCTATTTACAATTATCAAAAACATTTGATTGGACAGGTCAGGCCTATGCCCCCCCCCCAGGGCCTTTCCTGTTTGTGAATAAAATTTAAATATGAAAATAATTCGAAGACCATATTGTTCTGGCTTTACACTGTGCTACCTTTTCCTTTAGAACACTCCATAATTTTAAATTCACTGGTAACAGATAAGGTCCAGAAACTCAGTCATCGCGATAAGCATGTTATCAGGAAGATTCATGAATGTAGGTAGCAGAAGTCAACACGTTGTGTACTCATTCTTCAGTTCCATGATCAAGCACAGCAACTGTCTTCAAAGAAAAACTAATACAGCTGGCATTTTAAAATGTTTATTATGAGCATTAAAACTAATAAATTCCTATAATCAGTCTCAGTAGCGTTTTGCCAGATTTTACAGATTACCATATATAGTCAGTGAACATGGCACTGATCTGCATGGCACAATGGTCAGATGAGAAGCATCTAACCCCAACTATACACAGTGTGTACAAAAGGATCTTAGATGGGTGCTTTGTTGAGTTGCAGTTAACATTACTTACAGCGATGGTTTTCAGCTCAAATGAATCCCCAAGTTTTGGTTGTATTCTACTACATTTTAAGGTTCTTGACCATGAAAACAGTTTATTTTTTTGTTGTTGATCAAACAAAAGACAGTTTCAAAACATGTTGGTCAAAATCGTCAGTTTTAATTGTTCAACCATCACCTATTTAGAAGAGCTGGGTTGAAATACAGGGGGATCACAGTCATGGACTTAATATCAGAACGTGCATTCCATTCCTTTCCATGTCCAGGTACAATGAAATATGGCACCATGATAAATGTCAGTAATCCAGTCATGATTCTGCCTCCTCCAAATGTCCCATCTATTAACACACATTCACATAGCAAAACTGACTTCATTGGTCACATGACACTGCTGGGGAATCCCTTGAACATAGGAACTAACCTTTGTCCATGAGAACTCAGTAAAATTCAAAGTGCAGTAACTTAATTACTGCTAAGCATTAAAATTTCAATTACATTTTTTTTCCTTTTTGCCTAAACAATCTCAAAAAATTAAACCATTTGGCTAAATTAAGACATTCAAGTCTGGCTCACTTCCTGTAACAGGAATACACATTTTTTTTTTTTTTACAAATAAAACATAGCAGTATGCAAATCAAGTCCCTCCAAAATATTTTCAACCGTTTTAAGCGCTCTACTTGTATCAAATGATATTTTTTTACAGTCTTTCATGGTTAGTAGGCAAAACGTTTATGTAGGTGAGGTTTGTACAGAAGCGCAAAGATCGAATGGTAAAAATGGCAGGACTCTTAGCTGATGCCATCAAATCCCAGACCACATCCAAAGCCAGAAATGTGCAGATCACATCACAAGCCGCTAATGCACGTGCTATGAGTCACGTTTATAGTGAAGGTGCATTTTGGGTAAGGGACGAAGTCCAGACCGTGTCTTGGAAGATGGGAGATTAAGTGAAGTGGAACGTAATGCCCCTCCTTAGCTTCCTGGGTGATAATGTTAAATGACTAATGTTATGCTTTTGGTTCACTGTCCAGGTACATGGATAACAGCATAGGTCCTCTCTCAAATGTATGCAAGGACCAGTCACTCCTTATATATTCCTACAAATGTGAAAATTAGACACTGTAAAAATATAATACATAATCCATAAACAAATCTATGGTTTATTCAAGGGAAAAAAATATATACCAGTAAATACTACTGAGTTCTGAGGGAGGGACATGCAAAACTATTTTGGCTGAAATAATATTCAGTTAGACAGACGGCAATTACACACCGCAGCCAGAAGCATCCAAGAATCATGTAATTCTGGCCGAAACATAAGAAAAATTTCCTGCTTCAAAACATAAAATCTGTATCATTAAATAAATGTCCTGGAAAAAAAGCTCCTTATATTACAAATCTGCAAGTTCAAAGGGAGAAGCCCATTTAGCCTCAGCCTGGTTTATCAGACCTATAAATTCAACCCTCCTCCTGGCAAAAATAATCTATTTATGCCCCCCCCCCCAGGTAATGGGATGTACAGCTCGTCATCGTTCTTAGTTCCGTCCTGCCTAGCCCTCATACAATCCCCTTCCTGTACCTTCCCTTTCCTCCAATAGTCCACAGTTTTATTCCTGCCTTGCAAACAGGCTGAGCCACCGACCAACAGCCCACGAGGCACCGACCAGGCCAAGCCCACACTGGGCACATGCGGACTGGGGCAGTGGCCCTGCCTCTGCTGCCTGTCCTCCACTGCGAGCCTCCACACCACAGGATTGGGTTTCGTTATGCAAATTTATAAGTGCAAAAGCGAGTCCAATGCTAGCCTCCTCTTCCTCTTTTCGAAAGGGCACTGACCCCCTCTTCCTAAGGCGTTCCCCCCCTGTGTCCCTCTTCCTTGGAATTTCCAGTATTACAGTTTGGCTCGCTGAAAGAACGCCTGTCAGAAGAGAGAGGGGTCAGAAAACGTTACCACTACTGGCATCTTGCCGGGCTGGTGGCATGGGGGGGCTAAGCTGGGGATCTGCGCCAATCATACCTTTATGTAATTCTTGAAGACCTTTGAATCTGGCTGCTGAAGCACCTGGCAGAGCTCCTGAAATGGACGGATCATTTAGACACAGGGAGCATTACCTGGGATTGTTTCCTGTTCGGACGGAGCCATACCTGAATGATGTCTGGGGTGACCTGCAGAGAGGGCAGGTACTCCTGCTGTAGGTACTGAATGAACTCTGGTCCCTGCAAACACATTGGCATTAAGTTCCAGTCAATGGAGACCAACACTTCAATACTCCCACAAACTCCATGTTAAATTAAGTGTCCATCTTTTAGGGGTTGGGGAAATCAATTCTGTTACAAAATTTGTAGAAATTATGTCCATTTTTAAATATGAATTTAAATGCAGGTTGCTACAATTATGCTGTTCACATTTGTTACTGGCCCAGTTTAGTTAACGTTATCATGAATGTTAGGGTTATCAAGCAGAGACTATTCCAGCACTGTTTCAGTTTAAGTCCAAATTTTGGGCCAACTGTGGATCCTATATGGTAAACAGACACCTAGACCTGAGTATCACAATCTAACAGCAAACACTCAATGTGACCCTCACCCTTTTCAGATGAATCATCTTCAGCGTCAGGGCACACTCAGACAACGTCTGAAACGCAAAGTCATGTGTCAGGGATAATTATAAGATGCAAAATTATGGTAAAGACTTGCGCCCAAAGTTTATATCTGAGAAACTGATGACGTACCAACATGGTTTGGGCATCTGACAGGTCAAAGGTCGGCTTGAGAGGAGCCAGGAAGCAGGCTGGCACAATGTGTTTATAGATGAAGTCTGGAAACCCCACTAATCCATCTTTTCCCCCTGTAAAGAGAAGGAATAAGGAGCATATCCACCAACCTCACTGTGTAACCCTGTATACATTGGCTAGAAGGATTTGGCCTCATCCATTGAGTTTAAATTGCTGTTTCTGCCATAATCATATACAGAAACAAACATATACAATACTGTTATCATAGGTATTTGGCATTAATGTTTATGGATTACTAAAACGTCAAGAAATACCTACTATTGTATAAATATAGTTTAAAACCTATTTAGAAATATGCAATATATGCCAGCTGAGTAAGGTGATGTTTCTTACCCCAAAGCTCTACCAGTTTGGAGAGGATGATGAAGCAGGTTTTCTGTGCTATGGGGTCAGGGATGTCGACAGCCCCCTGGATTATGGTGAAGAGGACCCTCTCGATGTTTTCCAGCTCTGGACAGACATACAATCCAGAGAACATCAACTGTATTAACAGGCCCAGGTCAGAGGTTATGGGCAGGAGCCAAGCGATGAAGGACCCCGGGGGCGTAGAGCAGTGTTTCCTAAGCCGGTCCCGGATTGGGAAACACTGGTTTAGAGGCTTCTAGGTCAAGCCACAGGACTTCTTACTGGTGCACCTTTAGGTGAGTTCTGCAAGCCTTTATTAAAAAGGCCATCTTACAAACTCTATCCATTTATACCGTAATCCCTTCACATTCGCGATTTCAGTTATCTGTGATTCAGCCAGGAAGTGTTAAAACAGGAGTAATTTTGGAGCTTGCCGAAAGATCGCAGGAATCCATGCATGACGCGCAAGCCAAAAGCAATACTAAAAATGATTTAGATCACATAAAAGTATATAATGCATAAATATTCGCAATATTTCTTAGTGTATATCTTTTATATTAAAAGTCTCCATATATCTTTCTCTCAGCATCCAGCCTCACTCATGTAACTCTTTGTGACTTTGGAATCTCGCATTTCTCACAATAATTGTTAAACTTTTCAGTGCCATTAATTTTGCATTTTAATGAGTCCAAAGCACAGTGCTCTCAGTGCGCACAGTAGTAATTTTGCACATATAAGGGCATAATTTAGATGATTTGTATATTACATAAAAAGGTCTTGATGGGAAATGATGGTAATTTGACATGCAAAGGGCACTGGAATTGCAGTTAATATCTCGTTTGTGCTGTGTGCTGGGACAAACAAACAGTTTCATGTTATGAGATAAATTTTACTGCACCTGGTGTGTAGGTAAATGACTTGACCTTGAATGGCTCTCTAGCTCTGCTGGCTGAGAGGGGGAGACTGAATATGGATTTAACTCCTGTTTCATTCTGCTCATAGACATCACTAAGCATTTGTTTTGCTGTGTTCATATACATATCATACTTAACTAGTTTCACTATGTTTACACGTAAAACATGTGTATGTGTACTGTAATTGTAGCAATAGAAGTTACAGTATAATTATCAATACTTATGTAAAAGGAAATAATTATTCCAATTTATCATGATAAACAATCATCCCTTTGAAATGTTTACTCCCATTATCAGGTTAATTGAAAACTGAATACTGTATGATTGGAGATATATGAGCAGCTGAGGCCCTTGCAGGACATTTTAGGACAGAAGTGAAAGGTCCCTGTTCCAAGGGAGCAAGTCAGATAAAAGTCATGCAGATGAAGGACAAAGACGAGCGAATGAGAAACATCTGGCGAGTTCATGTAGGGACATCACCCACAGAACAGGCATAAAATGGATGTTGATTTGTGAGTGGGGGCTCTTCTCCTTTGCATGTGGGGAACCCCTGTTCCAAATGGGAACCTTCTATTCTAATCATCTGCATTTTATGTCCATTCAGAATTTCTGACTTCCACACTGTTTAGAGACTGATAATAAATAGACTTTGCATTATTGTTCAGACTGTTGCAGGTAGGGAAACCCAAGTATTGTTCGTGAATTTTCCACCGCTAACCCTTGCGAATGTGAAGGGGTTACTGTACAGTTGGGTAAAGTGATCGCTAACCTGCTAAAACACGATATATAAATTTTTCTATGAGCTGCTCTTTATACTGGCTGTGGCTAGATGACTAAGCACTCTCTCACGCTTGCTGCTCACAGCCAATAAGAGCCCTCAAAGCTGGACCGTTTGATTTGCTCACCCTGGTTGCCCATGACCTCGTTCATGCCGCTGCTGACCACAGTCTGAATGAAGGTGAAGTAGCTCCTCCTCAGCATCTGCTTTTCCAGAGCTGCCGTCTGGTCATTATCCTCAGCCGGCCGGGCCAGCACCTCGAAGATGGCCTGCACCAGCGGCATGAAGGCCTGCTGGAGGAACGGTGACACCTGGGCCTGTGGGGAAGGAGCAGGGGCCGTTGCTGATGCAGCTGAGGAGGGCAGCCATAAAGTCATCCGCTCCTCCTCAGTAATGCTGCCATTTGCAGTGCTCCTGTAAGGCCTTGAACATCCTGAGCTCATGCCCACATGGATGTGGCTCAGTCATAATTTACACTGCACCAGACCCAGACCTTCATTAGGGAAGCAACAAGAACCTAGACAGCAGCTTCAGTATATGTGTGGTTTTGTAAACTTAGTGGGGGTTTTCTTGAAAATGCCAGTAACCTAAAATAAATCCATTTTCACCTGTTTCTAAACACTTAAAACCTGTCCACTTTAAACCGTAACTGGCCATATAGACCTTTGATGACCACATGGTGGTGACACTTCGCAGGATTCACCTTGAACTTGGCAGTGATCTGGTTGATTAGGGGGATGAACTCTTGCAGGTCCTTGGCCTCGCAGTCCTTGAGCATATGCTCTGAGGCAGAGGGGATGAAGGGCAGCACCTCTTCCTCTAGGCATATAATCATGCGGTGCAAAAAGGTGCGCACGCCACTCCGCAGCGCCTCCTTCTGGACGGGGCAGCTCAGCGCAGGCAGGAAGGTCTGCAGGCAGTCACGGTAGACCTCAGAGCAGCCGCATTGCTTCACCGTCTGCTTGTTGCTGAAGGCCTTGCTGGTGCGGCTGTGTGGGCAGACAGGAAATCGGAGGTCAGGCATCGTCTCACCGCAGCATGGCGCCATGTCCCTGCCAGCAGCATGCAAACCTCAACTCCACTACAGACAATGTCCTCAGCAGCATACCAAGGCTTCTAAAGACTCATGGTGAGCATGCAAGCCCCATGACAGGCCATCAAGACCTCCAGCCAAACCAGAGCAGCACAAACTACCAACTTAGTTTGCCGGTCTCCATTGTCACCACAGGTAAAACAACCAACCAAGCAGCCTCGACAAACACCATATATCACCCAAAACAAAGGGTTCAGCTAAGCAATCCTTTGGACATGAGGTGCCGCCGTGGCTGGTACTACCTGGCGAAGCCCACGGCATGGTTCAGGCAGTCGGCCAGGCCGGCCTGTCGCTCCTCGTCCTGCTCCAGCAGCAGCTTCCCCAGCAGCAGCTTGAAGGCACCCAGAAGAGGCTCCAGAAGGTTCTTCATGAGAACCTGTTTCCTCTCCACGGGGTACTCGCTGTTCACAATGAGCACGCCGGCCGTCTCGTAAATGAAGAGCTGGTCATCGCTGGTAAGCAGGGCTGGATAGCCATTCTCCTGAGGTGAGGGTAGAAGGGCTTAGACAGTTACAAACCTACGTAGACGGACACACCGACAGTGAAGCACTTCTCTGCAAACAACCGAACAAAGTTACTAGAATGTCATATTCAGTGAAAGCACATCACAGAAACTATATACATGGTCTTTCATACAATTTAGCCACTGAGAATACTGCGGATTGCAAGGACTTGATGACCTTCTCAGCCATATTGCTGTGAAGGTCAGCTCTTATTGTTTTGACTTACGGGGGGCGAAAGTTCCAGCAGGTCCTGTATCCGACTGAGGATGTCTTCGATGAAAGCACTCATGTGCTTACTACATGGAGGAGCCAGAAGAAGAGGAAATCATTCAGAGTACCGTTTGCAGAAGAGGAGGCTTGCTTTATCAATGTGATCTCTCGTATTATTAACATCACAAGGCTGCACTTACTGCAAGGTCTTGACGTATCTCGAGAAGAGGTAGGCCACCCTGCTCCTCACTTTTGGGCTGCTGTGCCTTAGGCCACGATGGTCCAAGAATGCCATCTAGAGGAGGAGGAAAAAAATAGCTTCATGCTACTTTCACCACGTCAATGTGCTTTAAAATATACGGAGCCCTTAAATACCATCACACAGTATTCAGCAACATTACGAGAGGGTAGAGCTACGAGCTACACACTCCAGAGTGGCCGGTTAGGACAACACCCACCAGGACATTTGGAATGTGTTGAGGCTCCACGATGAAGAACTTGTCATAGCGGACAACAGTCTCAAAGAACTCCAGAGTTACAGAAGTGTGCTGGTACTCACTGACTCCGCAAGTGACCAGCTGAGTAAGACAGAGTAGGGACATGTCAAAGTTAACACCCAGCCTTACCATTACAGCCAAAGCACTCATCAAGCATACCACTAAAATTCTACTACAGCATTAAAAACCACTGAAAGTTGGTCCTGTCATTCCTACACCTCCCACTCCATTTTCAAATAGTGAAAAAGCTTCTATAAAATTACCAATATCTCAAGTTTAGCGTTCAAAAGCATGGCTTGCATAGAGACACAGTTCTGCATGAACTTTAGGCCAAGTTACAGCCCATGGTCATCTATCCAGATGACTCTCCAAGGGGACGGCAAAAGATGTAGTTCTGCAAGCAGGGGGCTCTAAGCATTGTGCAGAATGTGTCCCCCGATGAAAACACCCACCGTCCGCATCATGTCCTGAAGGGCGCTGGCTTTGGTGCTGTCCCCAGAGAAGTGCGCCCCCTGCGAGGCCGGCAGAGCCTCCCCCAGCATGTACAGCAAACGGATGGCTACCTCCACCTCCATGAAAGGCGCAGTCTGCCAGCTTCTGGATGGATGTGTGCAACACAGGGGACACGCACACACAAACACACAGGACACACACAGAGGAGAGTAAACAGCATGTCCCTGCATGACCAGGTGGGAACGAAACACGAACGGCTCATGGACAATGTGAAATTCCTTGTCACTGCGAGCTCCAGGTTCAGCATTCATCATTAATAGCAATTATCTCAATATGCGTTTAAGGCTTATGAATGGACCGAAACAGACAATGAACATCTCGTCACGCAACTGGCAGTTGTGCGAAAGCCAGGGAAGGTTAGAGAGGAGATTAATGGCCTACTGCATGGTGGTGTTGAAGACCCGGCGGACGGCCTCCAGCAGCAGCTCCGGGGACACCTGTGCCAGACGGTCCAGCAGCAGCTTCAGCTGCTTCCTGTACTCCACAAACATGGCCTCGTCCTCCCCCTGCAGAGTATACGGCGTCACAGAAAGTTCCGGAAGGAGGGAACTCATCCAAGCACGCAACAACCAAGGTTGGTCTGAGTCTATGCTTACTTACAGCCTGAGAGCATTAAAATTACGATAGATAACAAAGGAGTAATTACAGGAGAGAACCAAGCCTGCTAGCTTACTCAGAAGCAGACATGAGTTACTAACAGCCTGTTGGTTATTGCCATCTTTGGCATTTTCCTACACGGGAAACAAGCGAGCATTAGGGGTGCAGGGGGCAGGAGTCTGTCTGAGGCAGCACAGGGCACAAGGCAGGGACACACCCTGGACTGGAGGACAGTCCATCACAGGACACATACAGTCACAATCATGCATGGAGAGAATTTATAGTTGCCGATTCACCTATTTGCATGTTTTTTGGGCTGTAGGACGAACCCAACACCGAGCATGGAGAATATCTAAAAAATGCACCAAGTAAACAAAAACATTACCTCGTTTTCAAAGTTGTATTCATCGTCATACGTGAGCTTCTTCATCACAGCTAGCATGACTGCCTAATGTTGGTGGAAAAGCAAACTAGTTAAGTTACTAAAAGCGAACAGCAAGCCAAAGGTTTACATAAAAAGGTGCTCAGGCACACCACAACGCCTCTGGACCTTACCTCCACGTTGGACTTCTGCTGGTCCGAAAGAACTGGAAGCTGGGGAAGACAAACAGATTAAAACTCCAAGTAACTGCTGACATTCCACCACACAGGGAACAGGAAGATGAGGGATAGTGCACAGTGATTTACTGTCACCTGGCAGACTGTAGATGATCTTTGGCCGGGACGCCTACCTGCTTGAGGATGTGCAGGTAGTCGTAACAGAAGCCCACCACGTTGGTGGAGATGTCGTCGTCCTCGTGGACCAGCAGCTGCAGCATGAGTGCCACCTTAGCCTCCAGGGCATGCAGAGCCTCCTGGGCATTCTTCACGTCTCCTGCCTTAACCAGCTTGGTCCAGCTGGTGATCAGGGCCTGGCCCATGCCGTTCACCAGCTTGGAGAACTTGGCCAGGAAGTCCACGTCCTCTTCCTGCAGACCGGACTGATGTCAACCAATCAAAGGCCCAAACAGCTTCGCCCTCACACATAAGGGTCACACTCAATCATGTCCTGAGAGGAAGGCCTTATCCACACCGAGTATTCAGTCCACATCACTGCCCATGTGCTGTAGGAGTACTGTGTTCAACTTTGACCTTGACATTATTTGGTTTTAATACTAACAAACCTGCCAACACTGCAGCATATTCATCTAAATCAGCCAATACTGAGAACCAATTTTAATATCCTGCATTTCATATCTTATCTGAAATGATGAATGACTTTATGGTGCATTAAAAATAAAAGATTATGAATAGGAAACATGGAAAACAGGTGGATGAATTTATCTAGCCATTTAACAGTCCACTGGATCAAAAAAATGGGGCATAGTTAGGTTGCTTTAGAATATGATAAATTATAATGTATGTCCTGTACGACTGATCAATACCCCCTGCCCCAACCCCAAAGAGTTGTAGGTAGAGCTGGCACCCATGCTGTACATTACAGGATCATCCTGTACTAAAAAATAAATGTCCCGTATTGAATCAATAGGCGATTTGTTCCGAATTCTCACATCTGGACCCAAATACAACTTATTCTGGAAGGCCATAACCTCCCACAAAGCCAAAAAAAATTTCAGGGGTAGTGTCTCTTGCCTTTGTATTGCTGATGGAAATTGGCCCTTAGAGACAAAAAATTGGGGAACCCTGGCCAGCATGATGAAGACCAAGATACCTGTTCCACGTTGAAGAAGCCAGCAGTCTGCAGCACCTGACACAGAGACTCCACCAGCTTGGTCTTGTCGATGGGGTCCATGCCCTTATTGACAATTTCAAACAGGCAGTCGCAGGCCTCCTCTCGCAGAACCTCCACTGACATGTGACTCAGCAGCAGGCTAACAAACCTGAAATGTAGGTCCGCAAGTCAGGCTCTACCACCCATGGGGCTGAGTCTCATGTGCATTTATGATTAATTATTATGCTACTAGAGCATCATTTATCAAAAAAAATTATGCAATGGAATTTGGCAAAAATCAAGTTCTACAAACTTCTCCATGCAAGTCTGCTTCGGAGAAATTTATCATGGAAGATTCCAGGTTAAGCCACACGCTTGCATATTTATGTGATAAACATTGGATGCAAGCCAGTAGTGTTAATCTCCCTTTGAAAGTTCACTGTAAATCTTTTAACAGGTGATCAAGATAGGTCAAAGCCTATTCAACCTAAGGGACAAAACAGGGATTTGAGCACTCCCTCGTGCGAGGCACTCCTTAATGGCGCAGCCTACCTGTCGTTGGCAATAAGACTGAGGTCGATCCAAGACACGTACGCCCCCACCACCTCTAGACACTGGCACGTGAGCTCAGAGTGACTCTGCTGGTAGGTGTGCAGGATCTGGTACCAGGACTCCACCAGGCTGGGGATACACTGCTCCCTCATTCGGTCCTTGATCAGGGTGTTCCTGCGCGTCTCCTGATGGGGGCAGCAGGAGACAGAGGTCAGGGTTTGCAGTGTATGGCTGGGCGATATGACGATATCTGTAAATGGCGATATCAGACAAGTAACCTGCCTTCGAAAGTAGTGATGCTCCGAGTGATCGGCAGCCGGTTAAAATCGACTGAACTTCAGCCTTAATTACTTGATCGGCGGTCTTTGACTGATCTAAAATACCAATTTTGTGGATGAGATAGAATATGTGTGTTTGAAACTTAAAATATGCGCATTAAGTTTCAGTGCCACTATTTAGTCTCCCGTCTGGCAGCGTTACCATTTATCTATTAAAGAGTTGCAATTTGCAACATTCGTGCAAAAGAAGTCGCACACGGAGTATCGTCTGCTGAAGTATTTATTAGATACTTGTGGTCTTCACCCAGAGGAGTATGAGAAATAAGAGAACCAGAGTTTTTGTGCTCCGTGTACGAGTGCGGAGGGTGAGCGGTTGTTCGGTACAATTGCACAAATTTTGGATAAGAAGAATACTTTCTCCAAAAAAATGCAGAGATGTTTATATTTCGTAAGGAAAAACCTACCATTTCTTCTAAAAACACAGGCCTGTCATCAAGAGCCAAATTCTGACTCGTTTACTTTTTGCGGTAGTAACTGGCCACTGTATTTTTGTTAAATATTGAAAACATTTATTTTAAATGATTTGAGATTCATTCTTAAAGCAAACCTCTTTATTTGATCCTTTTTTCCACCAAGAGTGGCAGGTTTGCAGGTATTTAAGAGCTTCATATATTCGTGAAGGGCGGCACGTTGGCACATGGGGCACATGGGTAGCACTGTTGCCTTACCATTACAACCACACACCTCTGGCACCGCAATCTGAGTCTCTGCCCTGGCACCATGTGTCATTGTGGAGGTTCCCTCTGGGTTCTCCGGTTAACTCCGACAGTCCAAAAACTAAGATGAACTGGAGTTACCAAACTGTCTGTAGGTGTTGAATGGTGTGTTTGCCATGTGATGGGTTGGTGCCCTGGGTTATTCCCTGCCTTGTGCCCCTAGCATCCGGGATTCCCCGCAACCCTGAATAGGACAAGTGGGTACAGGAAATGAATGGATAAATGGATGGAGGGACAGACATGTTCCTGAAAGGCACACCCATTCTGACAAACTGATTTTGATTCTGGGTTCAGGGTCTCCCCCAAAACAAGGGGGAGAGAGAGAGCGGGAGAGAGAGAGAGCAGCTTTTAAGATTGTCCTTGCCTCGGAAGAGTGCTGGATGTCGCGGTCCACCACCTCGGCGTCAATGGCCATCAGCATACGCAAGTACAGGTCCACACCCCGTGGGTTCAGCCCAATGAGGGACAGGATGTCGAAGAAGAACTTGGGCCACTGTGTCAGGTACTCGGTCACGAAGGTCAGGGCGAATACCTGTGCCGCCTTGTTGCGGATGAAGACCTTCTCCGGCTGGGCACTCATCAGCTGCGACCAGGACAGGCAGGAGGGTCAGTAACATAACACTCCTTACAGGTGGCATAGGTGGGCAAAAAGGCAGTCCGCAATCCAGCAGCCACCAAGAGATGGCGCTGCTCATGTCATACCTGCAACTGCAGCCATTTCATGAGCGTCTCACGGATGAGCTGCTGCTGTGTTGCGTTGAGGGTCCCATGCCTGCGGACACACGGCGGCGCTCCATCAGCGACCCGCAAATCGAACCAGGCACCAGCCAGCAGTCTCATTTTAACTACAACTTACCAGCAGGTGGCGCTGCTTGAAGGGCTACAATACTTTGACATTCAGCTCGCCACCTCAGTCAATGGACACAATTCTGTGCGGCAACCCACCCCCCCCGTGTCCCCGAGCAACACTCACCTGAACTTCATCTGATGTTCTAGCACTTGGAAGCAAAAGAACTTCACATGGTCGTTGCTGGGAAAGAAACGCGTCAATGGGATCGGTTAAACCCGGCTGAGTGTGACAAGGAACCCTTATTTGGACATGGATTCCAAAATACAACATTCCAAACAGAAGAATGAATAAAACCTGTTTCCGTGACACCATATTTACACAACCTGAAACACTGCTAAGGTATGGGCCCCAGGCTTATAATGTTTGCAAACCAGACTACGTTGCACAAAAACTTCAACGGACTGATCCGCGATTTCATACGTTTAATAATTTGTCTTTTTTTCATCCATATATGGCCAGAATACATGAATGTGAGGGGCCCTAAAACATTAGAATATATAGGTTATTTTTGGAAATTAACCAGCACCTATGGATAACCCCCAGCGTTCCACAGCAATACTGGCCACGGACTAGGGGCTGGAAACCCCTAAGTTCCTATCAGTGTTAATTTTGACAGCAGATTTCAATTTAGTTTTAGTCATAGTCTTTTGACTAAAATGCAATTTTAGTTTTAGTCATATTTTAGTCATCTGTTTTGTTTTAGTTTTAGTCTAGTTTTAGTCGACTAAAAAGCATAAGATTTGAGTCGACTAAATCTACTGTAGATTTAGTTGACTAAAATATATTGGGTTTAATTTAAATGTAATTTAGTTAAACCGTGGTAATATACAAAATATTCTAACTTAAAATTAAATAAAGCCAAGTCTCATTAAATATGTTGAATATCGTCTTTCCATAAAAACCAAAAATTAGATATGCATTGTTTAGAACTTGCATATGACATTCTTCATTCTGTAAAGGAAAAGTGCAACTCCAAATTATTTAAAAGAAAAACTGTATTTGGCAGTAATGCCATTGCAAATACTGCATGACCTGAAAAAATTACCTTGCAGATGTCGCTTTAGATTTGTTGTAATTTTACCAGCTATTTCCGCTCCACACGGTTTACACAATGTCTTGTTTGTATTGACATCAAACGTGAAATTATTCCATATACCTTCTCTTCTTTTTCTCCCAGCCATTGCCATGTCATTTTAGTTTAAGTCAGACAGACACCCACCAATGTATGCAAGATGTACTGTCGCATCTCGCGTCGCAAGGTGAATCAGTATCTTAATTTTCAAATGTGCGTGTGCGTCTTTCCGCGCCACGCACCAAGATTAATTCTGATTGGATCATTTCCAAAAACGTCCCTCACTCACATTTTCGTCTCGTTTTTATTAGTTAACGAAAATGTCAATATATTTTTATTATAGTTTTCGTCATCATCACTTAATTTTTATTTAGTTATCGTCTCGTTTTCGTCAGTGAAAATTTGTCGTTGACGAAAATTATAACGAAAATATTTCGTCAACGAAATTATCACTGGTTCCTATGCTAACGTACCTTAACTCTAGACCATTCACTCCAAGCAGACAGTCCTGCTCACCCACCTGTAAACGCCTTTGGCCAGGGCCTCAGCACACACCTGCCAGGCATCAGGAGACTCCTTCAGCTGCTCGAAATAAGCGAGAGCCTAGGAGAAAGACAGGCACCATTTTGTTGAATATTTTAACGGCATATAAAGTATCTCCTCAAACGGGGTGAGTGGCCGATAAACAAGGCCAATCGTGGGTTCGGAGAGCTACAACTTCCAGCAAGCAAATAAACCAGTTTGACGAAGCTGGAATCACATCAGAGGAGCCAGCAGAGCCAAACCAGCTTATCGAAACATGGGTGCACTCGAACCCGACTGATACTTTCACTTCGGGAACAGTTAGTCAATGGAAGACAATCCTCTTATCAATAGAAGTGAATAGACCCCTCCCCCCATTGAGAAAAGGCTAATCATTTATACCCAGCCTGCAAAGTCCACCCGGCAATCATGTAAGTAATAGTTTAATACAGAGCTGGCTTCTTAATTAATGAAGCAATCAAAGGTTTTCAGTCATCACTTTCAATGTAGTCAGACAATAACTGCACCACAACTAAAACAGTAATAAAAATAATAAAAACTATAGAAACTACAGAAAAAACAACTATATAAGGAACAGAAAGTTACACTGAAAAAGACAAAGCAGAGATATGCAGTAGGAAGTTTCACCCTCTAAACTATCTGTGGCTACTTTGAAGAAGGCAGCCTGTTCTCTAAGGTTTTAAGTGAAATCAAAGCAAACCTTCATGCCAAGTGGACTGTGCTACGAAGCAAGGTTATTGGCTTGTAGTCTGAACAAAATTGTACGGTAAGTGAACGAATATGAAGTCCATTTAAACTGTGGTACCTTAAATCCGACATGTTACCCCGATAAGCCAGTAACCCCGCTTCGTAGTACAGGCCACTGGTATGACGGTAAACACCCTGCCCCACTCAGCACACCCAGGGGACTTACTCTCTGCCTGTAGCTGGCATCGGCATTGGGGTTCAGCCCAAGCAACGCCTGCTCATCCATAATGGCAGCAGACACACAGAACGATGGGGATTACGTCTCTTCCACTGAAAGTTTGTGCTCTTCCACCCCTGTGGGGGCTTCAATCATCTGAAAGAGGAGTGACAACACACAGAAGTGAGTGCATGGTGTATGCATAAGTGCCAACAAGGACCCAGCTTACCTCAGCAGAACCGCACAAAGCCAAGAACGACCAATTGATGACTAAAGCCCGCAAGTTTGGATATAATCCAAGATAACCAGAGCATGCTCATTCATTTGCTGTGAAAACACTGCCATGCGGTGGCAGTGCGGATGTTAATGTGCAGTCTGCTCCTCCGTTTATAGACCAGAAAAGATTTACCGCATTTTCAAATACCACGTAATTTATTCCGTTTTATGCAGACTCATAATGGGCATCTAATAAATCTAAAATGCAGCATTACAGAAACAAGCATTAAAAATTGACGCCGAAGTCACGGGCGCGTGGCCGGCAGCGAGGTCACGTGATCCGTACAGCGCTAAACCAACGTGGCCTCCGGGTGAGCAGCATCATACCATCATTACTATTGAAGTGGCACCGGTATGACCAAAGACTGCGAGACAAAACAAGGATTTATGTAGGAAACGGAAAACTGAAGAGTGTCGTACTTAACAGGCATAAACAAGACGTAGATCCACCATACATTATGAAACACGATGATGTATACTTTACATTAAATGTATATTAAAAATCTTTACAAGTTATTCTCGAAAGAAACTAATGTAGTTTAGAGATCTGATATGCAAGTATAACATTTAACCGTTTAAGTTTGGTTAAATGCCCTAAAAATACTCGACTGGTTCCATATGGCTCGATTACACTATTGATAGGCATCCACCCACACACAAAAATTAAATAAACTTGCATTTACATTTCTGCAGGTAGTGTTCAGCACAAACCCGTATAAGGGGGCAGCAATCGGAGCCGAATATCACACATCGCGATAAATAACTTAAACGACAGGTGGTTAAAAGACTTTAAACGACGATAGGTGACTCAAAACGACAATGCTGTCCCACGGGCGCGATACCTTACACAACTGTAACAAACCTCAGGTCGTCCCCTCCAACTTATTCACAATTATTCTGGAAGAAGATTGGCGACGGTTACGATGATTTCTCTCTGCTGTCGGGTACAACTCCGGACCCAGCTATCTTGCTACATGTCGCCACTCCGCACAACTCCCAAGTTGATGCAACTGCGATGCAAGAGAACTGACGTGCGCGACCCGCCATCACGGCCACGCCGCACGCCGTTACGCCCCGGGAATCGCGACACAGCAGATAAAACAGACACTCCTTAAGTTATAACAAAACATACAGCCGCCCGCGTCCTGAAACGGCGTGGAGTTTCCCCGGCGTCCGCTTTCGCGCATTGGCACGCCGCTGCCAAGGCAAAGTCTCCGAGGCCTGTAAGCAGATCTTACCGCCGCACGATCAAAAGCATTACATGGTGACGGCAGCTACCTTCCCGACTGGCGATTTAGCTCATGGCTCCTCTTAGTTAGCTCCCGGGGATCGCGGACAGCGGGCGGGCTGAATGGAGGTGTGCTGCGTGTCGGCTCAATGCAGACGGAAATCGGTTGCACGCTGGGTCACGACCACAGGAAGAGATCCCCCCCTGCCGCCGCAACTGGGCTTGATGGTGCCTCCACCCCGCCCGGTGGACTGCTCCTTTAGGTAGGGTGGAGGAACGCGTATAATAATGCTGTAGCCCGCTGTCGTCGTATGGATCAGTAGTCTGCGCAAACTGAAACTCTGTACTCGAACTTTAAAGTTATAGTTCGTAAATGAGAAACGGCACCGTGAAATCATGTGGATTTTCTGTGACTTTTTCTTCTATCTTAACTGTTTGTAACTTGATTTTGTAGTATTGGGACACTCATTAAAACTGGATAAAATATCAAACGGTTTTAATAGAGAATATTTTACCCTTTCATGTGTTAAACATCCCACATTTCATTAGGAGCCAACTCATCCTTTATGGTCAAGCGTGGAACCAACCCTCCAATCACTAACAGAGGTGTTAGCAATCCACCAATCACCGATTAGCCGATAAGCGGTGCGCCAATCAATGAAACGCATAGAATCCGCTTTTCCTGTCAGAAGGTTGACGCGTCGATTCCCCGCCTTTCTACTTCCTCTTTTTACAGTGGCAGTGAGCAAGAGACACCATGAAGGCGTCTGGCACAGTATGTAATGTTTCGTTAAAACCCATGTATTGTGCGGAAGACCGCAAACAAGTCTTTTTTGCTTAAATCTAAGTGTGTGAACTACTCGTTGATGTGAACCCTTCCTAGGTATTCGATGAACAAACTAACTTCTGGGTGTTTAAGGCTAGGAAATGAGTGTAGTGGCAACATGGCGTCTGATTTTGCGTTTGAAAACCATGTGGCGAAGAAGGGAGACCCGCCTGAACAGCCGGGTCAAGGAGTATTACTTGATCCTACCGCCGATACGAATCCTGTAGCTATAGTTAATTGTTTTAGTGTCTACACGTCAGGATTTCAGGCTTTGTTAGATTTTAACCAAATCCACATGCCAACGTCATACGCTTACGTTTGACTTATGTCACTGAGGACCGTATTACTGCTCGTGAATGTTGCCTAAGTATGTAATGTCCCTGCCTGACGTATTTGAATCTTTTATAAAACCATTATGTATAAGCTAATTATAACCACATAGGTAGTTTCAATAGCTTCTATGTAATTTTTGTTCCTGCTAGTATTCATATCCGTAGGGTACATTTATACGTTAATTTGGCTCCATTTAGGGATTCTTTAGATTGCAAATAATTATCCGTAAGATTTGAGGAAGCAATTATTGACATAGTGTGTGTGGCATTATGTTTTGTCAATCAAATTCTTGTTTCTTGATGTAAAAGATGTAAGTAGCTTCCAGGTTGAGACTGCATCATGTAAGGTCCCTAAGTGACCTGCTCAGCTTCTGGTGGAAGTGTGTGATGTCAGCCCCATCTTTTCTCCGCAGCTTAGGGAGTACAAGGTGATTGGGCGTCTCCTGCCCTCTGCCAAGAATCCCACCCCTCCTCTGTACCGCATGAGGATCTTCGCCCCCAACCATGTGGTGGCTAAGTCTCGCTTCTGGTACTTCGTCTCCCAGCTTCGCAAAATGAAGAAGGCATCCGGAGAGATAGCCTACTGCGGACTGGTTTGTTTCAACTAATAACACTAAAATCTTCCTTCCTAATTAACTTGGTGACAGCAAGTACAAAACTGATTCTTGCCAACAAGTAAAAATCACTTTAGATAGTTTGGTTACTAATTTGTTGATTTTTAAGATGTACCACAATGTTGCTGTACAGAAATGCTTTTTAAACCTCTATGTCTGTTTAAACAATAGCTTCCAAAGTTATTAGTATAATGTCCATCCCTGCAAACTGAAGAGGTGATTCTCCTCCTCCTCCTCAAGGTACATGAGAAATCCCCTCTGAAGGTGAAGAACTTTGGCATCTGGCTTCGCTATGACTCTCGCAGCGGCACCCACAACATGTACAGGGAGTACAGGGACATGACCACCTCTGGGGCCGTTACCCAGTGCTGTAAGTACTTCAGCGAGGGCCCTTGGTGTCGGGTCATGTGACATCCTGTTTGTTGTAGGGTGTAATGCAGGACAGAGGGAAATGATTCCTGTGAAGTGGGGATGGGCCGGTCCACATTTTTTCAATCCCTATCCGATTCCAATACACAACTGCTGATACCGATACAGATTCCGATACAAGAGCTCTTTTTACTTTGTTATACTTTATATATTAAATTTTTGTAAGCTAGTAAATAGAGATGGACAAAATGAATGTCAAAAATATTTAATTAGGCTACTACAAACATACCTAACGTACTGTTCCACCTCATTTGTATGTCTTGTTTTAAGCGTTTTTGAGGCATTTGCAGTTCAATATGAATATCTTCAAAGCAAGTATACACAAGTGGCGAATGCTTAAATTTTTAACACAATTTTTCTCCCATTGGTGTCAGCTCAGTTACACTTTGTTGCGACAGCAGCCCCTCTTGTATCACAAACTGCAGCGAGTTCGCAAAAGTCTAAGTTAGCGACTCCCAATCATCCATTGCTTTTTTTTTTGTCTCGCACAGTTGCGTGCGCTTTAAGTGGGATTGTACATTAAACGCTATTCCCGCCTCTCAAAACTTTATTTTTCAAAGATTGCAAATCGCTGTGCCGCTGGTTTCTGTTTTAAAGCGTAAAATACTCCCAGATCGTCACGTCTTATCTTACACTCCTCGTGCTGCGAAGGGTATGCGCATGACGTCACAGCAGGCGGAAGTCATTGTACTCGCACCCACTGAGTAGCAAAAAAAATTGCGGGGCAGCGATAGCATTCGATTTGAATGCCTCAAAAAAACACATGTAAAATGGGAAAGAGCTGTCGTGCGATTGATTGTACAAATAGCTCCTATTTCGTGTAAAATCTATTTTTTTAGAGATTGCCAAAAACGTATAGGACGTGGATCGGTCACGCATGGCCGATACCTGATCCGTCAAATAGGTCTGGATCGGTGCATCTCTACTACAAAGGCTACCTACTATAAGTTTACTCTTGGTCACACCACCTCCTTAGCTGTGGCTAATAGCTGATGTGTTGCGTTTTATGCGTCAGCTGTGAGCTTTTTAAATTCAAAGACCACCTAAAACAGTTATTTAAAATGTCTTGCTTGTGCTACTTGGACAACTATAAAAATATTGAATTAATCCTAAAACAATTTTTCATGAACACCAGACTGGTTTTACGATTGTCTTCTTCATGTAGTTCCAAATAGAACTGGAAGTTTAGCAAAATGTCCTTTTCCAGTGTAAAACTTTACTTTAATTGGCCGTTGATAAACGCATCTTTGGCATGCATCTGACTGCTCATGTTCAGTGATGATCATTCTCTGCCCAGGGAACTGTCACTGATTATCAAATGAATGCTGCACACGTGAATAATTTGAGGAAAACTGCTGAAGTACAGCCTGACAACCTTTCAATATTTTTCTTTTCTGGGTGTTTTTTTTATGTACTGCATTATCAGGTTTCACATTGATTCATGCCAGCATGCGTGTCTTATTTGTACACATTGCTGTGACCCTTAAGACCTTTATATTAGGCTTGACAGTAGTGCTTTATGATTAAGGGTATACATGGTGTTTAAGGGGATTCCACCCAAAAATAAATATAAGCAACAGCTGTACACACTCCTTTGGGTGTGAAGGATGTGCACCACATAGTCTGTGGAGTGTGAAATACATGTACTTTGAACATGCAGCTAATTTTCTGTTAATGCTTGCTGCACGTGTTATGTTCTGTGTGTTTACAAATTTTACACTAGATATAGCTAATTAAAGAAAACAGATTGAAGGTCATACAAGGCATAGTTAAGCTAGATTTTGAATGTGCTTTTACATATTTGTGTAAGTTTCATTCAATGGCTTTGCTTCCATTTTCGTAACATGTTTATCCATTCAGCAGACACACTAAGAGCTTTTAGAAGTTTGATTAGTGCATAGCAGTATAGAGTGAGTCAACTTGTTAGTCTGCAGTCTTCAAACTGGAAGTTTTATTGTCAGTTTTGTGAGTCTCAAGTTATTGTGCATTTTAGGAATTGTCTAATATCACAGCATAGTTGAGGGTTCATTTGCTTAAGCTCAATTTGGTTTGATTCCATGTTCTTAGTGAGTAATAGAGCTCCGTCGTGCGATATTAATGCTGAGGGTGTGTGCAGGCAGGACGTGAGACTGAGGTGAAGCAGAACGCACACAAACCCAAAGGCCGTTATTCGCCCGTATGGCGGTCTTGCCGTGTGTGCGCAGATTGAACGGGATCTTGTCGCCTTTCATACGCTGTTGTGCTGATGGAAGTGAAATCAAGGTTCTACAGTCCAAACATATTATGTACCATCAATGTTTCGTCACTGAGAAATTGCAAAATTATGCGGAGGCTGGCATGAAATTATGGAACTGCTGGGAGTTGTGGGCGTAAAGTGTGATAATTCTCATTAAGAGATGCACCATGTTATAATGTCACTTCTCATAAAGCTCGTCTTTAATATGCTCACAGCAAATTAATGCCCATTTTTGCACTGATTTGCTAGTGTTAACCTAAAATGATCTTGCTTGATATACAGTCCCTTGTTGTTGGGTCCTTCGTAGCTGCTCCTAATATTCCTCACATCCATTATAATATTGGATGGCAATGAAATTCTAATTACTGATGACCCCTTAGCATGTTTTGATTTTCTCAGGGCTGGTGAGGCATTTTTAGTTTTTCAGCGACCATGCAGATATCGAGGGCATAGTGCAATTTTTACTGCCGAGTTCTGAATCTCATCTCTCCTCTCCAGACCGTGACATGGGGGCCCGTCATCGTGCACGAGCTCACTCCATTCAGATCATGAAGGTCCAGGAGATCGCCGCTAACAAGTGTCGTCGACCCGCCATTAAGCAGTTCCACGTAAGCAGAAGCTACCGATTTACAGCACCTCACACTGTCACTGAGAAAATGTGTCTGGGGTACTATAACGTGTGTGTGAGAGAGTGAGAGAGATGTTACTGCCGCTTTTCGGTTTGCACATGCGGCTTGTGAACTGCAGTTTCAGGTGCTTCAGCATTTCTGTAAATGGTGCAGTGTGAACTTCTCTGGTTGCTTCTGATTAATACCCATGGTGTCTTTTCCATGTTAGCTGTCATTCATCCTGACCGTTATTGCTTGAAATCTCATCCTTATAAATGAGAACCATTATATATTTAAACGGGGCTTCCCATAACAACGCTGATCTGACATTAATTACAACAGATGTCGTCTCCAGCATTCCGGGACTGGCTAGCAGTGCAATCCTATCTTCCGACTGTCTGGGTAAATGGCCCCTCTTTTGTTCTCAGGACTCCAAGATCAAGTTCCCGCTGCCCCACAGGGTCCTGCGTCGCCAGCACAAGCCACGCTTCACCACGAAGAGGCCAAACACTTTCTTCTAAAGGGAGTGTTAATGCTTTTCAGAATGTGCTTGAGAATAAAAAATACCTAAAAAAAAAAAAATCAGTCTGTTATTTTGCAGCTAAAACTTTGGACCAGAAGTAAAGGCATTAATTATGTTATGTACCACATGAAACTAATACAATACGCAAAATATAATCACAAGTGCTTTATTGGTCCTGTTCACAGGGAAACAATTGGTGCCTATATTCTGTGCACGTTTCTAGCTATTGAAAAGATCAGGGGCTAAGTCAGATTTATCTGGGGCATGACTTTTTCTTTTTTTTTTTTTTTTTGAAGGAAGTTTGGCATCAGAGCTAGAATCTAAAGTGCTTGGAGCTAGAACACCCATGGAACAGGTGCAATAAAAGATATAAAGCAGAATGCAAAAACAATGGTAAACAAATGGAGACGCATCATAAAAATATAGCTAGGCATATATTTCAGTCGCTGGCGGATCCCCAACATCCGGACCCGCCTTCTGTTAGCAGGTGTTACGCAGTCTACGTTGCGTGAGTTTGGTAGTCATAGAGACGCGCTGTCCCATCCCGTGCCATCGGAGCCCGGAATTAAGCGAAGACGGTCCGACGGGATGGAGCGCGCTGGCTGCCCTTTATTCAGCCGCTTAGGTTTCGCAGTTTGGAATATGTGTAATTTATATACCAAGTTGAAGTAAAGGATTATAATTGATTTTTTTTTTTTTTTTTATATTCATAGCTACGGCGTTCATATCATGAACAGTTTTACATTTTAGGTAAGTTTTATATAAGCCTTTGCGTAACCTATTTGAATAATTTCAACACGGAAATGAAATCTTGTCGGGATAGAATTGCACATATGATAATGGACTAAAACGAGCTAAGTCCTAAAAACTATGAGGAAAAACTCAAAGTAATATGGCTTCACGTCATTTGAATTTTGATGAAGCCTTTCTGTGTCTACAATCACGCTAAGTGTTTCGGTTTTAAGGAGTTAATTACGCGTAGTAGAACTGAGTAAATCTTAAAGAAATTCAGATAAATTAAGAAATTAAAAATTGTGCAGAAATATCAGGAATTTCTTCAATAAGCTGTTATGATTCATGAATTTAAAGTATGAGAGTCCCGCCAGACTGGGGCAGCCGGCTGAGTGGATTTAAAGTTGGTACAAAGGGAGTTCTGGTGCTGATCCGGGTCGGACACATTTTACACCTGGACTGAGGTCGTCTTTGTAAGTATACTACAGCGCCGATGGTAGTAGAGGTAGTAGTAGTCAGGTTCTGATCAATCCGATACCAAATACAAAGCCATTATCGTGAATACCGATACCGATACTTTTTAACTTATAAAAGCAGCTTATGTACTTTCATGTAAGGGACAGTTTGTCATGAATTATGATTTGAATGCACCATCAATATGGTAAATCTGAATGCATTTTCATGAACACTAAATGATTTTGTGATTTTTGCTTTCCACTATTAATCATGTTAAAATTCAGGGCAGATTTTAAACAAAAAATGCAATGAACCGAATCTGCAAAAAACTTAAATTCTTATATTTCAGATTTTGTTCAGAAACAATAATATAATGAAAAGTATCTGTTTCATTATACTGCTAGTAGCGCCAGATTCCATCAACATGCTGCAGACAAATCTTTTACTATACAGTATACATGGTGTCAAGTGTTTTTAATGTCTTTCTACTCCATACAGGTATTAAAACATTTAAATGTTTTTTTACAAGGTTGTATGACTATGAAGTGATGAATGTTGTGGTAGTGGTGCCAACAAGAATACAACTACTTTCACCCCTGGACATGTAAATAAAATATTACTTTCACCACTACAGTATATAAACTACCTGCATCTCTGAATGGACAGTCTGAGGGACCTCCCAAAGGTACAAACAGCATTAATGTACCATCAATGGTTCAGAAATGTTCCTCAGAGGCCATTTATGTACCTTAAAAGGTACAATTACCTACAGCTAAGGGTACACATTTTTACCATTTTTTCTGAGAGTGTAGTCTGCCTGTGGTGCTTGGACTGCCCCTGTACCTGTTTGCTATGTTTCTGAACAGGTAACTGTTTTGTAGTAGTTATCCAGAGCTGGCCTGATTTAGGTGCTGGGCCATAAACTGGCATAATATCATCATGTAGTCATCATGGCAGCAGAACAAACTTTGCGACCACCAGGATAGCAAGGACAGTGTGAATACAGGTTTTGGAATCCGTTACTGTGGTTCCTGCATACAGAGAATGTTTTCTTTGCAGGTTAGAGGGTGCTTTCTATAATATCTGTGACTACTGTGTGCAGTAACTGAACAAGACAAATAGCTCAGTTTCACAACCTCAGGCCCTTTCAGCTCTTAGATTTTCAGTTATTGATGTTTTGTGGAATATTTAACAGTCAGCTGGACGTAAAACGAGGACATGAAAGCATTGACCATCACAAGGGTGGGGCTTTTATGGATCACTGCACCATATTCTTGGTCATTCTTGCTGTGATTGGTTTAGACCAACCAATCCCGTGCAGCAGCCATGAGGAATGAGCGGTGTGGGATGGATATCGTGCAAACAAGGAGCCAAGGATTCCCTCTCTCTTCATCCTCAGATGAGCTTCCTCAGTGGGCAGGGGGTAAGATCTGCTTTTGTTGGAAAAGGTCTGGGCCCAGGTTGCTGTCAGAAGGAGAGTTACTGTCAGCTCGTATCAGAAGCAAGTGTCACTCACTGCAGATGTCCCTTCAGGGATAAAAGTTTCCGAAATGTGCATTTAAAACTGAACTGACTACGTTAATCTGACTGGCATACACTCTCTGGCCTCTTTCTAATGTACACCTTGCTAGTACTGGGTTGGACCCACAGATGCCTTCAGCACTGCCTTAATTATTTGTGCCATAAATAAAAAGTGTTGAAAACATTCCTTAGAGACTTTGGTCCATGTTGACATGATAGCATCATGCAGTTGCTGCAGATCTGTCGGCTACCCCATAGGTGCTCTGTTGGATTGACATCTGGTGACTGTGGAGGCCATTTGAGTACAGAGAACTCGTACTCATGTTAAAAAAGAAACAGTTCCAGATGATATGAACTTTATGACATGATGTGTTATCTTGCTGGAAGTAGCCATTAGAAGCTGGGTACACTGTGGTCATAAAGGGATGGACAGGGTCAGCAGCAACACTCTGGTAGGCTGTGGCATTGAAATGATGCTCAGTTGGTACGAAGAGGCCCAAAGTGTGCCACGAAAACATCCCCCACACCATTATACCACCACCGCCAGCCTGAATTGTTGATACAAGGCAAGATGGATCCATGCTTTTGTTTTGTTTATGCCAAATTCTTACCCTACCATGTAAATGTTGCAGCAGAAATTCTCACTTGACTACGCAACACTTTTCCAAATAGATCTTCCAATCCATTGTCCAATTTTGGTCAGGCCTTGCCCGCCGTAGCTTCAGTTTCCTGCTCTTAGCTGAGAGTAGTGGCACCTGGTGTGGTCTTCTGCTGCTTTCGCCCATCCCCTCTGCTTTGAGGTTCGGTGTTGTGCGTTCAGAGGTGCTCATCGCCATTCTTCGGTTGTAACGAGAGATTATTTGAGTTACTGTTGCCTTTTTATCAGCTTGAATCAGTCTGGCTATTGTTCTCTGACCTTTGCCATCAACAACGCAGTTTCTCCCAGAGAACTACTGCTCCCTGGGTGTTTTTTCTTTTTCAGCCCAGTCTTTGTAAGCCCTAGAGATGGTTGTTTGTAAAAATTCCAATAGATCAGCAGTTTCTGAAATACTCATACCAGCTTGGCTGGCACCAACAGCCATACTGTATTCAAAGTTACTTAAATCACCTTTCTTCCCCATTCAGGTGTTTGATGTGAACATTAACTCCTGAAGCTCCTGACCTGTATATGCATGATTTTTTACATTGTGCTGCTGACATATGATTGGCTGATTAGATATTTGCTTCTTCGAGCAAATGAACAGGTGTACCTAATAAAGTGGCCAGTAAGTGTATAATAAAATTTCATGAAATCACTACAAATTTGGATAGATATTGGAATCATGTTAAGAAAACTTTAAATAAAAATTACATATGAATTAAATTCAACTAAAATGACAGACCTTTGGCCTTCATTTCTGCTGTAGGCAGCTAAAACGCTGTTTGTGAGATTTATTCTCTTTGGGCTGATGGTACTGGGCTCCATTTTTTCCATAAGGCACCCATAAGCTCTAAGGGGGCAGTCTTGCCTCAATTTTGCATTCCAGTTGAGCCCAAAGATGCTCTCCCGGGCCAAGGCTGAGGCTCTGCTCTGGGCACAGTAGTATTCCAGTGTTATTTACTGAAAATTGAAATATTTACTTATTTTGCGGTCACGCCCAACGCCTTCTAGTGGACTAGGCATGTTTACAGTTAAATAAAAGAGCTCTTTCTTACTAAAATAAATATGTGGTACAGATTTTATGTGTGAAAAACATAAGTGACAGCTTTTAGCCTCTGCAGTAACATACAACTTTTCCCGTCATACAGGTTTTTCTGTCATGCGGTCACTACCCAGAAGCACCCAGCTGGTGTTCGGTTTTCAGTCCGGCCGGGCCGTCCCTCGCCTCCGGGAGCCACGTCACCTCTATGGGGTGGCGGGTCACGCGTCACAGGTGCTCTCGCGATGGCCAAAGGAGTGTGAGGTCATTGGGGAGAAGATCAGGCACATTGGTGAGCGAGTGCGTGAATGTGGAGGGCTCCTCTCTGAACTGCTCACCTGGGTCATCTTGGTGGCCATTGACTCTGTACGGGAGATACCAAAGTAACGTGGCATTCTGAAACTGCTCTTAGACTGCTCACTAAAGCTTTCTGATGAAGCATTAAGTCCTTGTTGAGATTGACTTGTCCCTTGTGGGGACAGTGGACAGCTCTTCTATGTTTCACATTAATTGTTCAATGATTCAAAGGTCCTGTTTTCCTGTTTTGATTTCAGTCGGGTTTTATGGGCCCATTAACACATCCCTCTCCCAGTTTAAGGGTGGTCCGGTCCATTCTGAAGGGCCCTCCCTGGCCCAGAGTCAGTGCCCACCTTTAGTCTGTGTGAGTTGCATTTCTGATGTACCAATAGTGTCGATTATGAAATAAGTGGCTGTTTGTCTCAATCCCTTCCTTTCACGTGTGATCTGGTCCTCCTCAGAGTGGGCGCCTCCTGTCCCTGAGCCTCTGTGTGCCCAAACTAGCACAGCCCAGAGGCCACAGGTCACAGAGGCAGGTCAGGGGATACTGGTGTTTAATGCAGAGGCAGGTAAGGATCACCTTGATCTCCTGTTGCTCTCCACTTAGGCTGCCAGTGCTTGTATTCCAGACAAACGGTGCTTTTATGACGGGGGTTTTTATTTAAAACTAGGGACTACTAGATTACATTTGATTAATCGCAAGAAATTAGTGATAAATTGCATATTTAGTCAAGTTATAATTTGTTGAAAATTCATTGCAACTATATTAAACAGGAAAATAGGGAAACAATGACAGGGAAACAGCAGGAGGAAAATACACATTACTTAGAGGTTACATTACATTAATAGCAACAGAGAGTCACTTCTGCATTCCTTCACCATTTATACACTTGAGCAATAACTACAGTTAATTTGTAAATGCAGTCAGGCAGCATTATATTCTACAAATTTGCATTTGTGGATAAAAAAAAACATGGCCAAAATTATTGTCAATGAGACTTCATAATTAAATGTTAAATGGCGTGAAGTCCTGTACGTGTGACAGACCCCAGCCCTTAGAGAGATCCTGTGAAGGGACCGCTCCTGTCCTTCTGTGCAGGGAGAAAGAGCATTTTCTCTGGGTCGTGTGTGGGAGGTCAGCGTATATACCCAAGAGATGCCTTGGAGTCCCTCTCTAGCCCGGATGACACCACACTGATTTTTGAGTCTCGCTTCGAAAGCGGAAACCTGCTCCGGGCACTGCAAATGTAAGTGGTCTCCTTCTGACCTGAAAGTGCCTTTAACCTTGTATTGATGTGACACAGTCTTGGGTTTAGCCCTCTGTGCTCTTACTAGGGTTACCACCTGTCCAGGCTTTTCTGGGACCCCCCCCCCCAGATTTTGGTTGTCTGTCCTGGAATAAACTAATTTCATTCTGGGACACAGAATGTCCCAGAATCTGAGCCTTTTGCATATCACTGTGTGAAAGTCTTATGCAGTCAAAGAAAATGTTTATGGCTATTTATCTTACGTGTATATTTGCTCAGAAAAAAAAATCAATTTAACACTATACGATGTGCAAATTAACAGGAACACAATAAAAATTAACAAGAATTTCATCTGTTCTCCAAAAAGTTACCAATATCAAGTTGGATAGCTAGATAAACTCCAATTTGGTTCCCAAATCTCTCCTTGCGGCACCTCAGCCAGTCTATGTGTTCATTACATTTCTCCAACAGCTCAGTGAATTAATGAACTAGTTTAAGGTGGGGTAGTGGTTGAGTCAAAAAACATGGTGTATTGAACGGTTGATGCAAATATTGAGGTAATTTTAGGAGATGTTTGAAATGGCTAAGCTGACACACTTTGAGAGACATAATGTCATAGTTTTACACCAACATGAAGACCATATCAACATAATTTTCTGTGACTGCCTTAGACTTTTGCACTGTATTGTATATGTGTGTTAATAGCCCTCAAATTCAGTCAGAGCTATAGCTGATTAGTAGAAAGAAACTATACTTTGTTTTTTTAATCATTGATGCACTCAGAAAATTCTGCCAGTCAGACTATTTCATGAGGCACGCTCTACCCCCACACCACATAGTCTGTGACGATTGTAGCTCTGTACATTGCTGCCATGCTCTATTAGGTTAGAAAACAGAACTGAAGTTACATTGTAAATGGGGGGCGAAACAGAGGACAGAGACCAGCTACAAAATAAAAAATCCAGCCCAAAAAAATGAAACGCTTTACGTCGTACAATGAAGAATGGTAGTAGATTTACATGGTGTAAAAACAGTGACTGTTGGAAATTGTGTTAGGAAAAGAATTATTGCAGACTAACATTTTTGTTGTTTTTGTAGTAACCAGGGTGGCTCAAGAATACAAGTGCAGACTACTTGTTACAATACATTTAAAACTATAATTCCATGTAAAAACTGAATGTGTGAGGTATGGGGTCATGACTAATAGAATAAGATATTACATTATTGAGCAAATAATCAATAATCCATGTATTAAAAATCCTGGAGATTACACTGCCATGTAGGGTTATAATTTTCCTTTCAAACAGACCTAAATAAACCTTTGGAATGGTGTTGCTGCATGCAATATTTTGGTCAATGTCTAGATGTCCAGGAATTTTGCAGGACAATTATGGCAACCCTAGTGCAGACCCAACTGTAGAGTCAGTCCTGTCACACTGTAACCTGGCTTTAGAGTCAGTTATGTCATACTTTCATTCAGCTGTAGAGTCAGTTCTGTCACACTGTAACCTGGCTTTAGAGTTAGTCCTGTCACACTGTAACCTGGCTTTAGAGTCAGTTCTGTCACACTGTAACCTGGCTTTAGAGTCAGTTCTGTCACACTGTAACCTGGCTTTAGAGTCAGTCCTGTCACACTGTAACCTGGCTTTAGAGTCAGTTCTGTCATACTTTCGTTCAGNTAGAGTCAGTCCTGTCACACTGTAACCTGGCTTTAGAGTCAGTTCTGTCATACTTTCGTTCAGCTGTAGAGTCAGTCCTGTCATACTCTGAACCAGCTGTAGAGGCAGTCCTACCCTCTGATTTGTACGAGCAGTTTATTATTTTCTACAGATAGAATCAATGCCTTACTTTCCACAGAGGTGAATTTGATTATGAGCTGACCCTCCGGACGGACCTATACACCGAGAAGCACATGCAATGGTTCTACTTCCGGGTCAGGAATACGCGGGCAGGTGTGTCCTACCGCTTTACCATCACCAACCTCCTGAAGGTTTCCAGCCTGTACACACAGGGCCAGCTACCCCTCCTCTACTCTGAGAAGAAGGCTCAAGCCTTGCGGATAGGCTGGCACCGGACAGGTCAGGACGTGGTCTACTATCACAATGGGCAGTACCACCTGGACCAGCCCTGCTTCTCACTGTCCTGGACCCTGTGCTTCCCCTATGACCAGGATACATGCTACCTGGCTCATTGCTACCCATACACGTACGCTGACCTGCGGGCATACCTGTCCGTCATTGAGGGCAACTCGGGGCTTGCTGCCTTCTGCAGAGTGCGCTCTCTCTGCCGCTCACTGGCCGGGAACCCAGTACCCATCCTGACAGTGAGCACTGGGGCAGGCGCTGCCTCCCTGAGGCCGGTGGTGGTACTGACAGCACGTGTCCACCCGGGGGAGACCAGCAGCTCCTGGGTCATGAAAGGTGTGCTGGATCACCTACTGGGCAGCTCGGCTGACGCTGCCCTGCTCAGGAGCGCCTTCCTCTTCAAGCTGGTGCCCATGTTGAACCCGGACGGCGTCATCGTGGGAAACCACCGCTGCTCGCTGTCGGGTCGCGACCTCAACCGCACCTACAGGTCCAGACTCCGGGAGCTGTTTCCCACTGTGTGGGCCGTGAGAGCCATGATCCGACGGTAAAGCCCCCTAATACACACACACGCACGCACACACACACACACACACACACTCGTTGGCGTATGTATCTAAATGGAGACCGTCCATTCATTTCTATGGAAAAAAATCCTGATTCCAGTCATGGCACCCTAACACCTACCCAGCCCTAACCAAACAAAATACAAGACATTTTTACTTTTTTGATTGCATTTACAGATCTTTGAGGGAACCTGAAACACGGTCCCCACAATGTCAAAAAAACCTAATCCACACACAAACACACACACACACTGAACAACAGGGGTGGCTCAATAATGACGTGAACCCTATTAATTAGTTTCAAACATTACATTCAATGCAAATTATGTTCAAATCCAAAATATTTATCATATGGACAAATATATGGTGCTTATACAAACCTTATTTCCAGAAAAGTTTTCTAAAATGCAATAAAAACAAAAGTGTGATTCATTAATTCACGTTAACCTTTCACAGTTTCACTGACCAACTTAAAAATATTTTGTAAATATGCGTATTCGATGGTGCAACACACTCAACAAAAAACAAAGGCATATTTACCATTGTGTTAGATCACCTTTCCTTTTAATAACATGTTTTAATCGTTTTGGAGCTGAGGATACTGATTGTAGTAATTTTGCAATTGGAAATTTTGCCCATTCTTGCATGATCTAAAAATTCAGCTGCTCGACAATCCGTGGTCGCCGTTGTATGATTATCCTATTCATGATGTGTCATACATTTTCAATAGAAGAAAGATCTGGACTGGCAGCAGGCCAGTCAAGCACACACACACTCTGTGTCTACGAAGCCACACTGTTGTAGCCCATTCAGAGTGTGGTTTGGCATTATCCTGCTGAAATAAGCATGGACATCCCAGGAAGAGGTTACCTTGATGGCAACATACAGTATTGTGCAAAAGTCTTAGTCAATCTAAGAAAATGATGCTTAAATGATCTTCTTGTTGATATAAAAATAAGATATTATGTCTGTCAAGTGTTTCAGCTTGGTCGTTCGAAACCTCTCCTAAAGTCACCCCAGTGTTTGCAGCAATCATCCAGTACACCCATGTATCTCTTGACACGAACACTGGCACATGTTATACATTCAATCAATACTTAATTTACTTTTTCAGTTAGTTTAATTAAGTGAGCTGGTGGTGAAATTTGACAAATACATGAAAGGCTGAGATGCCTATGAGGAGAGGTTTGGGAACCGAATTGCCATTCATTTAACTATCCAACAAGATATTAGTAGCTTTTTGGAGGTCAGAAGATATTCTTACTCGTTTTTTTGTTACCATTACTTTGCATATGTTCTAATGCTACATTGTGTTTGTGTTCTGAGCACATATACACTTACTATCCAGATAAATAGCTGTAAACATTTACTTTGGCTGCTAAAGATTTTTGCATACTGTACTGTATAGACTGGGCCTTTGATGGAGGCCCCATTTATACCCAGTCATGATATCTCACCTGCAATTAGCTTAATGTGGCGTCTTCCAAACCGCTATCAGTGAAATATTCTGTGCATTTTCAAATCTTATTTTAACTCTGTCCCAACTTTTGTTGAGTGTGTTGCTGCCATCAAATTCTAACTTGGGTATATTTACAAAATCCAATTAAGTTGGCCAGTACAACTGTTGAAAATCTTTATTTTGTACTTTTGTGAGTTAAATAAAGGTTCACATGAATTAACATACCATCACAGATCTTTGTTCTTATTGCATCTTGGAAAATATCCCAACTTTTTTGGAAATAGGGTTTGTGATTACGGCTATGGAAAGCACCCGGTTCAAAAGCATAACAACAGGCTAACCATGAGGTTAGGGCTTTAACCACTCTGCCCCCTGCTGCTTAGTAACCTGTGTCCTGAAGCTGGTTTGTTCAGTGGGTCTGTAGGCTTCTGCTTCATTTTCTTCCCAAATGCTGCATGACTCTTTAGTTGAGACACATGCAGCCTGGCAGCCCTGTTTGACCGTGGGTGTGAAAACCACTGGGGAACCTCATCTCACATGTCCTTGTGTGTCTCTTTTGTTCCTGCATGTCCCTGTCTGTCTCTGCATGTCCCTGTCTGTCTCTGTATGTCCTTGTCTGTCTCTGTATGTCCCTGTCTGTCTCTGCATGTCCCTGTCTGTCTCTGTATGTCCTTTTCTGTCTCTGCATGTCCCTGTCTGTCTCTATGTCCCTGTCTGTCTCTGCATGTCCCTGTCTGTCTCTGCATGCCCCTGCATGTTTCTGTGAGAACCTGTCCCTGGGTGTTTGTGTCCCCTCCCCACATCTGCAGGCTGCTGAGTGAGAGGACGGTGCTGCTGTACTGTGATTTTCATGGTCACAACCAACAGCAGAATGCCTTCACCTTCGGCTGCGAGGACCCGCGCTCCGCTGGGAGGCACCCGCACGAACGCGTCTTCCCCCTTATGCTCAGCAAGAACTGCCAGGATATGGTAGGACACCCCCTTGCTGTTGAGCTAAGTCATGTCCCTTTAACAATGTTCTGCCATCTTGAACCCAAGAAACTACATGATTGGTTGAAACCTTTCATTTACCTGACATGTATTGGTCCTTAAAATTTGCAGTTGGCTGAACGAGTTGTCTGTTACTAGGGTCTGTGTTACTTGTGTCTGTGTTACCAATGCCAGTGTTGCCTGTTAGTGTGTTACCTGTGTTTGGGGTACCTGTGTGTGTTTCATGTTTGTGTGTTTCCTCTGTGTGTGTTACCTGTGTTTGGAGTACTTGTGTTTGTGTTTCATGTTTGTGTGTTTCCTGTATGTATGTTACCTGTGTCTGGAGTACCTATGTGTATTACCTGTTTGTGTGTTACCTCTGTCTGTGCCACAGCGAGTCACTGCATCACCCTGAGCCACTTGTGTGTCTCTAAGTTCTCCTTCCAGAGCTGTAAGTTTGAGGTTCAGCGCAGTAAGGAGGGGACAGGCCGTGTGACCCTGTGGAGGATGGGGGTCCTCAATAGCCTCACCTTGGAGACCTCGCTCTGTGGCTCCAGCATCGGTAACCATCGCCAGCCATGACGGGCCCAAACCAGCCAGCCGACGAAGAGTCACATCCTGTCCTGAGCTGTGCTTATCATTCCGGGGTGCACCAAAGGTTGGAGGAAGGGAACCCACTTCAACACGCGTGACCTGGAGATGCTAGGAGTCTGTTTCTGCCGCACGCTGCTGGACTACTGTGATCCAGACCGGACCAAGGTGTGTGTGTCTCCCAGCCATGATCTCTGCACCGAGAGAATCTCCGATTTCCTGCTTGGACCAGCTCTCCTTGAAGTCTTAAAAACGGAAACCTGAGAGTGTAGTCCCATCTTCCCTGATTATCCATCAGCCATTTTACAGTCACCGCTCCGTCTCCTTCTTGCTTGTCTCTTGCTCATCCATGATGTTTGCTCACTTTATGTTTAAATAGGAATGAGCTGGACGAGGTAAAGCTCTGCTTTCAAATGGAAGATGCAACTGAGGTGGCTTTGTCAAGCATAAACTTCATGTTCATCTAAATGTCTCAGGGCACCAAGGCCTCAGAGATGCAGTGTAATGGGAATTTAGATAAGGGATTGAAACTTCATATAAAAAAGACCACGAAGAAATCTTCTCATGATGATGTAAAAAAGTACCAATGACCATAGCAGCAGTCCCTGTATGGTAGCAGCTGGTGGAGCCCCAGGTCAGCTGAGCTTGTCATGTTGGCAACTTGAGTCTCTGCTCTTTGTGCTTCTCCAGTATATCATGTGTTTGAGGGAGCTCCAGGACCTGATCAGAGTAGAGGGCGGCCCTGGCCTGGCAGATGCCTCTCTCAGGTAGGCCCCAGGTGGAGAGGACAGACTGCATCTGAATCCACAGGGGGCTCTGATTTGGCTTTCCTGTCGCATTCTGGCATTCAGTGTAGCATGCATGCGCGGCATGCATTATGGCAGCTGTGTAATTCATACAGATTGTACTGAACTTTTAAAAAAAAAATTCCTTTCTATTCAGAGGCATGATTCTGAATGAGCAGCAGTTCATGCTCAGGAATGAAGTATTACTTTGATACATTGCAATTGAAAAAAATCTTGCAAATTACTTGGCCAAAATAATTCAAAGTAACGGTCTTCATAAATGTACTTTCAGAAGTGGTTTGTAAATACAAGGTTAATAATCAAAATACCTATGTTACATGTATAATAGAAATGTAACCTCCTGTGATAGCTGGAATGTAAATCTGTGCTCTGCAGATTCAGGTTACCTTGAATTTAATTATACTTTCTGTTCAAAAAAAGTCATGTGTCTATACACTAAATGTATTGCCCTGATACAGGATACTTGTGGTAACTGTACCTTTGAGCTGTTCACAGTATGTGACTATCACAGAGGAGGTGTGTATCTCACAGTGAGATGGACAGTGATGTATCCCTTCTGGGTCCAGTCACATGTTTGTTTTTGTTCCAGCACCAGCGACTCAAGCAGCTCGGAGTCTGATGGAACCCTAGCCTTGAATAACAAGGTAGGATTCTTCCGCGTCCGTCTGCTGAATAGCTGGCCATACAGTGTGCTGTCACGATAACCTCCAAAATGGGTAAATGTGTCCCATGACCCCAATCTTTCATGCCATACCTGTGTATGTCTCATAGGAGAGTAAGATGGAACATGCGAAAACTAAAGAATGTGTATGTACTTGCACAATGGTGGATAAAATATCTTCTTAACTGAACTGAGTCTTCCACTGAAAATTCACCTGGCTTGGTTGTGCTGATGAGTAGGAAGATCTAATATTCTTGGAGGCACAATAAGGATTATTAGATGGCTGACATCTGAAAGGCTTGGTAAGGATATCTGGAAGGTGAACATGTGGTAGCAGTGACTCGTTTGTCCACCATGTTGTGTGTGTACTACTCAGTGCTCAAGGTCTTGTCTGATATCTTCTGGTGTGCAAGGATCAGGGTGTGATATATCACACAGCACCCAAACCAAGGCATCTTCATACTTTGAGGGCGGTTTATAAGTCATCGAGTCACGCAAACTGGATTTCTCTAGACCGTGGGAAGAATCCCAGATGAGCACAGTGAGAACACACAAACCCTGCACACACAGACCGGGGCCCAATCCTGGGAAGCCCCCAGAGCTGCAAAGACACAGCACACCCACCTGGGCAGGGACCATCATGCTTATATTTGACAATGTTCAATTTATTTGATGGTCAGTTATGTTCTTCACCCTGTGGTGTAAGATGTCTTGGGGTACAAAGACACTCAGGTCCAAGAAGGAGAGGAACAAGTCCCACCTCGCAAAGGTGAGGGAGAAGATCCCACAGCCAAAGGAGAAGAAGGTAAATGAGCTCCTGGGTTCCTATGCCAAAACCAGGAGTGCATTCCCTCCTTTGTCCAGAAGGGGCAGTGTGGTCCACTTACTAGTCTGTCTTTGCTAGTTTCAGGAGGACCTCACCAAAGATAGTGCAGAGAACAGCAGATATGGATTGAAGCCTGTGAGTCTTGTTTTACACTCTACACTGTTCTGATTGCCCATATTGCTGACCGCTATTTAATATGGAAATGCGTACACAGATGAAAACTGAGAAGAATACATTTACAGACAAGATTGATTAAAATAGCAGTGTCTGTGCTGGACATACAGCATATCATTTATTAAGGAGGGCCCTGGTATCCTACACCTATACTGTGTGGGCTATCACAAAAGGGTGTAAGCGACCTGATCCTCGCAGTTCACTGACCTGTTTCATGAATAGAATTGTTGCCTAGGAAAGTAACTGGACCCCCCACCCCCCCAATCCTGTAGGTGAGGGTACCTCCAACCATGCTTACGAGGGATATGTCCAAGGCAAGCCTGCGGCAGCCCTTCCCATCAAGCCTAGGAACTTCACCTGGACAGGTACAATCAGAGCGACTGCTGTCCCCATCCATACTGAGTGCTGGTTCTGGCTTTTCTGAGGTTGCACTAAGCTTCTCATTGTTCACAATACATTATTAGCTTCCATCTGTCCCAGCTGTACCCTTATGACTCAGCCTTCTGCTCTATGATTCTCAGTATTGGCTGAGGGCCATCCCATGGACAATAAGTTAGAAGATGGGTGAATGGATGGATGGATGAATGGATGGATACAGCAATATCATAGAACTTCATAAAACTCCAGCAAACAATGCAGAAAACTTTAAGTAACTTAGGAACTTATTACCTCTTCAGGTTGTCACATAATGTATGTGTCTCACTTTTGCTCCAACCAACCAGTTGAGTACTCTGTGAATGTGACTCTTTATACTGGTTAGTCTTGGTTTGGATTTGTACTTTCTAAACCTGAACTATGCACCTCTACTGAAGTATGGAATGTACTGTGTAGTTTTTCATATTGTTTCCCAATTTATGGTAGTCTTACATTCAAAACTGACTGGTTGTCGCCATCTAGTGGGATTTAGTTGGGTAATGCACCCTGTAACTTATTGGGTTTTTAATCAAAGCAGTTGTGTGTGTGTGTGTGTGTGTGTGAGTATGAGTGAAACCTCCTGGAACTGTGTCTTTTGCTTACAAGCCAGTCTGTGGTATGCAGTTTTAATGTGAAATTCTTCTAGAAGCTTGACCGTTAATGTACAAGTGAAATAACATGTCTGTAGACTTTTCCTTAAGGCACCATGTTTATTGCTGTCATGCCTGTTTTGAGACACACACATTCATTGCTGTCATCTTTGTATTTTCCCTTCCTGTGCTGCCTCTGACCTCCTTCATGTCTCTCAGACTCTCCAGCTCTCTGCCCAGCCCCCGCTCTTCCATACACAGCCAGCCATTTGTTCCTTCCTAATCTACTCAAACTCAGCTTATTAGCTAGCAGGTGCAAGTATTTGTTCCGTTTCGGATTACTTTACCATAATTTAAAATTTGTTCACAAAAAAAAAAAGAAAATGAAATCACAACAAAAACTAGACTGGATGCATTTGACAATGTTATTAAATGGAAGCTACATATATATATATATATATATATATACGTGCCCTTCATATTGACTCCTGTGAAAACCACCTTCCTCCTGCCTGCAGCTGTATTGCTGAGGCCTTGGTGCCCTGAGACATTTTGATGAACATTAAGTTTAAGCTTGACAAAGCCGCCTCAATTGCGCCTTCCATCTGAAAGCAGCCCGTTACCCCGTCCAGCTATCGAACCACATGACACATGAGCCCTCTGCTGCTGGCCAGAAAAATATACGTAGGAGAACATGCTGCCCCCCCATCCCCCAAATGAATCACGATCTCTGCTTGAAAACCCTGGCTTACTCCATTTGTTCCTAATTTTTTTGAGAAATATCTGGTTTTCAGCACATCTGTGAAAGAAGCTGGACTCTCTGCCTTTGGATTTGTTGTGTTTCAGCCATTTCATGGGTAATGAAGTTGATCAGCAACCAAATACAGAACATCTATCCATTCTGTATGCATGGTGCGGATAAGCCCAATGTACCTGAGAACCTATATGATGTGTTCTGTACTAGGCAGCTCTTACACAATACAAAAATATTGGACACTCAAATTAATAGGTATGTTACTTTCAAAATAAAAATTTCAACAGTGAATACACTGCTTTTGTATCAGGTGATTTTATATAAGGCGGTGCTATCTGAAGACACTACGTTCAGGCATAATGATATGTGTGTTGTATGAAAATTTTATTTTCATATGGGATGATAGGGGGCACTCTCTGAAGAGACTGCATTTATCCACAGTGATGTGGGCACTTAATTCCTCATTCTTGCATCTTTCGTGGGGCAATATCTGAAAATCATAAATAAAATCCAGTGAGCATTTGTCAGACAAGCATTACTGTAAAACCACCTGAGCATCTATAGTTCAGCTGACGGATGTTAAACTCTAACTACGCTTCTGTTCGTTGATGCTTCTTACGGCTTAAGACGTTTATCGATCGCCCCTTCTTCATGGAAATGCACTTCAAAGTAAAAGTCTGGGTCTCTCACCCCACAGCAGGCAGGAGCTGACCCGAAGCTCGCAGCTATCCCAAGTCGGGCCGATGCTCTGTTCCACCTGCTTGCTCACATCTACAGTCGTGACGAGCATTCGCCCCAGTTGAGTCCCTCTGAATTGCTGGCAGCAGAAGTAAACATCCTGAGGTGTTTATATAAGGCTTATTAAATTTACGTGATGTCCATTACCTACCCATTTTAATAGCTGCTTCCAAAGTAAGTTTATAAAAAGAGCTGAAATGCTTCAAAACTGTAAAACACTGTGTGGGAGACGGAGGCATTTTGTTGATCCTTAATCAGTAAAATCTCTGCTCTCTGGCAGGTCTGCGGAGCCAAAGACATTCAGAGTTGGACCTGTCTTCTGTTTACACTTCTGTAAACCACTCTATGAAAATTACACTCAATTCCCTTGATTTAAAAGAGTTGAAGTTGGACGACGGCATACCGGGCCGCTAAGCCAGGCTGCTTTTCTCAGCCCGTCTGTTTAACACGTTTGTGTTTATTTTAATTCGGAGCCTTTTCATCCCCATCCACACGACCACTCTCAGCGGCGATCCGCTGACACGGCCCCATTTTTTTCTTTGGGGCGGGTTCCCCTCTGCTGTCCTATTGCAGCCTTGCGGTGTGTTTTAGAGATCGCCGCGTGGAGGAGCAGACGAAGCGTTGAAGCTATTAGCAGGATCGCCCCTTAACCAATAATACGGGGTAATTTCTGCGAGATGATTTGCACAGACGTTTCCTACACTTACGCACGATTGCTTTTCCTGCAGGCTGGTGGCTGGGCTCCTACATTCAAGCATCACAATTAACCCTCGAGCTTAGCTTTTTCTGCTAGAACACTTTTCACTTGCGTCCGTTCCAGCTCCCATCTCTTTTAATTTTTTTCTTCCCCCTGGGCTGTAGACAGAAACATTTATGGCTCCATTAATGCAATTATTTCTGAAATATATCCATGTTCCTGAGGGTTTCCAGCCAGAGCTCTTGTGCCACCTGCTGGTGGGGCAGGATGTGACAGCTCGGAGGCAGCTAGAGACCGGTGTCAGCGGTAGAGGCTCCTCGCTCCCAGCTCACATCGGCACCAGTGCGTTTATTTCCCTTTGCACATGCCTCATTATGTCTGTTTGTTTGCTGACACTATGACATATTCTGAAGTGTCTGTGAGATGCTTACTGTATTGATGTAAACTGTCAGGTATTTCTCTGTAAATATTGCAAGAATGCATTGAAAATTGACGCATTGCTGCAGCTGGTGACTAGTGCAACTGAGTTCAGGCTGCAGCATGGGACCCTTCTCTGTCGTGTCTGACAGCTTTCCGGTGGGATCCGTTATCCCGCCTTTGGCCCTTGACTCGGCCGGTCATCCCTCCCTTGCTGCCGCGACTCCCCAGTGACAGCTTGTCAAGCCCCCGCACCCTGCCGGGACCCCCTAACGTCAGCATGGGAGACAACAGCATTGACACTCTGCCACCTCCGGAGGGTAAGTATGTACACAAGTGCGTCAGTCTTCATGCTTAATTAAACTAAGTCCGTGGTGGGGGGGGGGGCGGGGGTGTCAAACTGTTTTTGCACAAGCTAATCCTGCTTTCTGTTGCACATAATTTTATGTTTTTTTTCCTATCACCATGGAAACAACAGGGCACAGTACCCTGAAAAGTCATTGCTTTCCATCTGATTTTCATATTTTCCTCATTTTTGCACATTTTCACCTTCAATTAAATCAGACCCATTTTTTTTATTCGCAGAGGGGAAAAAAAGCATGTCAAAGTCTGCAGCCTCCTTTATTGGTTTGGAGGTAATCAAACATGCAATCTGCAGGTTTGGAAAAAGTCATCGCTGCCCTGGTTAAGTCAGCTGACATGAAGAGGTTAAAAAAGGGGGAAGCTGCAAGACCCTGCCAAGTACGAGCTTGTAAAGTGCGCGGGGTCTAGGCGCACACGAGGCCAAGGTCAACAGAAAGCGCCGATGCCTATCAGTGGGGAAAATGCTACAAAGCCACATTTAAAGTAGAGTTACATACGAGTCAGAGTCAAGGTTGTTCGTGAAAGTGTAGAATGACTTCCAGGGGTCTGCAGGTCACCACTTATGATTCGACCCTCATAAAAATCACTTGAGATGAAGGATGGAGCATTAAGGCAGAAAAAGGTCATGTTGCGACAGGCCAGGGCAGGTAAACCGCGAATCTGACCTAAAGGAAAACGTGTGGGGAAGTGGGCCAGAATCCCTCCATGTCTCTGGGAGATAGTGATCGATTAATACAGGAAGTGTTTACCTGTGGTCAAGGTTGATATAACAAGCATAAGAAGGCTGTTATTTTTTCCAAATTGAGGGAATTGGGTATTGCATAATTTTTTACATTACATCCCATCCAGGCCTCATTCCCCTTCCATTCTGGGATAGGCTCTAGGCCAGGGTTATTCAACTCACGGTCCTCGAGGTCCGAGCACTGCTGGTTTTCCAGCCTTCCTTTACCTGTCAGTCAGGTGTGAAGCCTCTGACCAATCAGAATCAGCAATTATTAAACAACTACCTGGGGGAACTGAAAACACGGTCTGGATTTGGAATCGAGGTCCAGAGTTGAAGAACCCTGCTCTAGGCTCACTGTCACCCTGTACCATATAAGGGGCTATGAAAGGTATTGGATGAGTCATTTCAACATGTCAGGGTGGTGCAGTGGTTAGCACTGTCGCTTCCCACCTTGTGGACTTAGGTTCAAGTCTTTGTCAGGGTTCCATGTGTGTGGAGTTTGCATGTTCTTGTGGGGTTTCCTCTGGGTTCTCCAGTTTCCACCCACAATCCAAAAAAACATGCTGAGATTAATTGCTGTTATCAAATTTCCTGTAGGCTTGCATGGGGTTAGTGCCCCCTTCTGGGTTGTTTCCAGCCTCAAAGGCTCCATGACCCTGCATAGGGCAAGCAGTTTCTGAAAATGGATGGAATTTTTCTTTTATACTGCAATTGGGGTGAGGATTAGATAATGTTCATTCTAGGTTGCCAACTTTGATCAGCTGGCTGGAGTGAGATTTTCAATTTGAGACAAGTCTGCACACGCATGCAAATCTTATACATGTATAACGTACATATACGCTATAGATTTATTACCTTGTAAATAGTCTGTAATGTTTGCAAACTACCCCAACACTTTTATATAGCTAAATTTATATTTATAATGGAACAATATAACTTTGCCATAAGATTTCTTGTGTGAGCATGAGACACTGAAAGCGTGTCATGTCAGATGAGTGACAGTTGGTAGCCCTGGTTCATTGTCAATGGTTATGCAAACATGCAGCAGATCAAGCTACAGTACATTAGCACACCTGGCTGAGTCATTGTGTGGCTTTAAGATGCATAAATGGTCTTCATACAGACAGAGAAGCCATAAAGGAACCTAAAGAGACTGACACTGTTATTTTACAGAGGCAGTCCCATGATGCAGTACAATGCAGTGAAACAGCTCCCATTTTTATGTTATGTAATTAGTGATTAATCTACAGGACTTTTTGAACACTGTTTTTCTAACACTGTCAATTTCCCCATCCATCCATCTTCTAACTTGTATCATAGGCATTAATGGGCACTAGGCTGGGGTACACCGTGGATGGGATGGCTGTCAATTTTCATTTGGTGAAATGAAGAGAAACAAGGAACAGATGAGAGAGAGTAATCCGTGAGCAGGAAATCTATAGCGTTGGAGGAGCGGGAACCTCACTGGCTGAAAGACGAGGACGTGTGAGGTGACGGTGACAGCAGAACCGCAGCGGTAGCACTGCATCCGAGGGCTAATTCCAAACAGCCGCACAGTGAATCGTCCTTTCTGCTCACAGGCAGGGTGCCCAAGTCCCACGCGGCGCCGGCCTGCCTGCAGATCACATCAGAGCAGTTCTGCGAGTCGTACCTCATTTCCTTCTTGCATATCGCAGAGCTGAGAGCTTTCTGGGGCCTAAGAGATGAGAGGGACAGCCTGGCTACATTTCCACCGAAACATACTTATTTCTGACACTGTCGATGTCATACACATTTCAGCCTCTCACTTTTCATCTCTTCTTGTGCTTCGCTGAGAAATTACATGACAGTGGGAATGATTGAAGACCTGTTACTGCATCAACCTTGAGAACGATGCACGCAAATGACGGTTCCCTCCAAAACGTTGGCCCTGTGCAGCCTGATTGGATGGATCCTCACACGTCTGCCACGCCATTTTCCCTTCATTTGAGACCTGGACAGCTATTTCCTGCAGTGTAAAGTTCAAAGGTGGAGATTTCAGGTCCAGAGAGTACAAATCCAAACCAAGGTTTTGTTTCAACCAACCAATTCAGTACTCTGTGACTGTGACTCTTTATACTCAACTGGTTGGTTGAAACAAAATCTTGGTCTGGATTTGTACTCTGGACCTGAAATCTCCACCTCTGGTGCAGTTACAGCTCCACGTTTATTTGGGCTGAAACTGATACTTTCTGGCTGTTCTATTCAGTATGTAAAGTTATTACTCAACAATGTCCTTTTCTTTCCATTTGAGATCATACTGCCTCTTACTTTTATATCTAAACGACTGAATGATCTGAATCAAAACTTTTATTTTTCAGGGCAAACCTAGGTCACCCAGCTACTTTGTGTTATAACTGACGTCTTGCAAGAAAGTGATTAAAGAGCTAAATGTTGCTTGTTTTTCTTGAGGACCGAACCACCGAAGGCTTTCACTTTTGAAACGACCTTATCCTACATTGGTCATAAAAGGCATCAGCATTGTGGAAAGGTGAATTTTTGGTTGTTGCTCCATTTTAATGCATGCATATAACCAGGCATAACCTCCAAGCTGTCCACTGTGGTCCTGAAGTTTGATGGTGCCATTTCTGCTGAGTTTTGCCCACGATTCGGATGCTTTGTTCACTATCTGCACCACTGGGGTCCATCTGAAGCCACCTTCCCCTCCTGTCCGGCAATGACATCATTGCCATTTATTGGTACCCAATAAGCTGTTTTTACACAGGCAAGAAACTATGCTGTAAAAAATATCCAAAATGTTTGTATGTCTACTTTGCATTTTGTTTGGATCTGATTCTTCATATATAGCCCCGAAGATCATCTTGAGGTGACTTAAATGAGGCTTAAGCAGATCGGAGAAGAAGCCCCAGCACTGCTCGTACAGTGAAAACTACTGAAGCAAATGAGTTTCCATGCCTGGAAAACTCTTCTCATTTTTTTCAAGCTAAATCCACAGTAATTGGGGAAAAGTCCTGAGATGAACAATATAGTGATATATTACTGTGGGTTATTCCATCACGCAACTGCGTATCAACTCCACTGCACCGGGAATGAGGAATGTGTGCCTGAATTATGATGTGCTTTGATCAGGAACACCTTCTGCCTCCGTGATTTCATACCTGAAGAAGTCAGTCCACTCTTTCATATTATCCATACATCTGACCTCTTATACTGGACAGGGTCACGAGATTTTCTGAATATGTCATATTTTAAGTATATTTTTACAGTTGAATGTTGAGAGGTGTAACAGGACACGGCATGCTCTAACAAAAATTATTCTCATCTGTTAGTATTACCCTTTCATAATATACCAAGATAGTGATCTGTAAGTTGATTGATGGGGTTTATACGATGCCTTTTCACAATTAAAGTTCAAAATGATCTGACAAGTTTAGCATTTTAGTTTCATGTAAGCTACCAGTGTTCGCATTCCAGTGCTGGAACAGTATCCAAAATACAAACTTTGATTTCTTACTACACCAATTTTCTTCTTGTACTGTTTTCAAGCAACTAATTAAACCTGTCAATAGTCACTGCCAAGTCAAACCAAAACAACAGCAAGCCAAATGAAACACTTACTTTGTCAGTATCTATTTGGGAATGTTGAATGATTGTGTTTTCTTTCAGGTCAACAGGTACTGTGGTACTTAATACATGAACTTGTTACCCGAAGGTTGTCATTTCAAATGGATGAAAATGTCTTCTTGGTAACAAAATGTAAATCCGGCCTCTAAGAATGAAGTGGAGTTGAAGTTTTCGGCAGAAATCTGAGATCACGGGACTCTGCTCTGATTCAGTTGCCTTGTTCGTCCAGGCTGAGTTCTGGGTGCATGTAAATCAGGTGGACGCCATAACAGTCACTCCTCCGTTGGTCTTTATGCAGAACATAAGCAGTTCCTCCTTTCACTGAACTAAAGGAGACCCCAGCCACTTCACGTGTGTCACAGGCAGGGTTTACTGTGTTTCTCATGTTTTATGTAAGACAGGAAGGCTACCTTCATCACACAGAGATCTCATTCTTGTGTAGTTCTGAAGCCATATGAAAGACTTATTTACCCTTTTGCTTTGATACTCTCACTTATTCTGTCATTCTGTTTCTCTCAGCATAGAATATGCCAGAAAGAAGAAATGGAAAATAACAGGAAACTCAGACTCAGGAACGGAGAGAAGGCCTTCCATTCCAACATCCTGAAGACGGCAAACAGGCCAAAAGCAAACCCTTCACACGTTAAATAATGTATGAATTTCCATGAGACAGTTTCGCTTCCTGAAAATGTGGATGTGCTGTAGATAATCGCTCGACTAAATGATGCTAAGGAGCTGTGCTGAATGCGAAGCTGTCGGCGGCAAGGCCGTAAATCTCTCCTCACACTCGCTGGTACCGTCCCTTATCCACCCTGCGCCACAGGTCGGGGAGCCGGCCACCCAGCGGAGGACACTGTCTCCAGCATCTCGCTCACTCTTCTTTTCCCGGCCAAGCTCTGCTAAAGAGCTCAGAAACTGTGAGTCAGCAGAAGCGTGGCGATGGGCCCTTGGGCCGAGACTCCCCGGCAGTCCGAGTGACGGTTATATTAACCTCCTGAGAAGTCTATCAGAAAGCACTGTTTTGTTTGGTACAGACTCAGCGTGTGGCTCGGGAAAAACCGGAGGGTCGCACGGATGCCGCACATGCTGTATTAACGCGGACGGCGACTGTTTCCAATCACTGCTTTCCGGGGGTGAGTTGCTGGAATCTCTCCCCGGCATCCCGGGTTAACTATGTGCCGACAGCCTTCAGTGGATGGATGCAATTTATTTGGTGCGAGAATTGAGGAGCTTTAGTTTAGAAATCACTTTAAATGGCAATTAATGCCTCAAAAAATGGCTGCATTTCAGAGGAGAGATGCAAAGTGGCTCACAAAAGCCAGTCCTTTCTGAAACTTTCAGCTGAAAATGGATTTTATGTCTAAGATCATTAAAAAATAGTAAAAACTATGATCACAGGCAAGGAAATGATTCATATATTTTTAATTGTCTATATATACTTTTGTAACCATACTTTTGTAATCTATTACCTAACTTCTCCAGCTCACACCATACAAAGTTTCCAAAATAAAAACCGCCCATTCCCTGGATGAAGGTAGCCAATGGGAATCCATATAGCTCTGACTCCCAGTAAGATTTCTAGGTTATGGGATCCCTTCTAGAAGCTCTTAGCCATACTGATGAACATAATCGGGATTCTGGTGAAGGAAGAGCGTCAGGTGATTGTAGCCCAAGGTAATTATGAGCACTTGGATGAATTAGTAGAGCACAAACCTGCTCAGGATTACCTGGTAGAGGTGCTGGATAGTGGGCAGGCTGAAGCTGATGTCCACCAGCAAACTTGTCTGGCAAAGATACGTAACGGCAGGCTGATGAAGAAGCTGATGGTCCACACAAGGACCAGCATGAGGATGACCAGGTCCAAAGGGGGGTGGAGAAGGGATTGGTGACAATAATGGCCCAGACCATGGATAATGGCACACAGGGAGCAGACACGTTCTACCAGGGCAAAGACCAGGAAGAACCGGTAGATCTTGTAGAAAGTGTTCCCCAGTGCCCAGTAGAAGCTGACAGCTGAGTTGGGGGTGAAGGGCACCAGGAGCAGTCCGAGGGAGTCCACCACCATCATGCTGAGCAAGATCAGTTCCAGGTGAACAGAGAGAAGAGCATCATGTTAGCACAGAAGCCACTGCCCAGGATCACACTGCACGTGGAGGCAAAAATGATCCCATAGCTGTTGTTGATGTGCTTCAGTCAGACCTGTTTGTCTTTCACTCAGGCAGCGTTTGCTCGTGTCTGCCGTACCCTCAGTCTGTTTCACCCAGCAGCCACGTCACGTCTCCGATAGCAGATGTCACACCCCCTCATTGACCGCTCAGGCCAGCCCTGCAGGCTGTGCTCATTTCTGCGCTCCATGGGTGAGTGGCTCTGCTAACAGCGCTTATCAGCTCGCTGATGACTTCATGGCTCACTTTGCCCCCCATGCCTTTGACTTTCAGTTGCTACTGCATCAAGTTCATTTAGACTGTAGATATAAAGAGTATTGATTTAAATGAGTCAATACAGTTGTTTTTTTTTCACCTGCACTCTTGCCTTGGAGATACCCTGGCACGTTGGTGCCAGGAAATGGGGTGGAGCTGTGAGGGGGGAGGTTACTACATAATGACCCACCCAGTGTAATATGTTTCAGGTGAATTACTGACTGTTAATTATCTTTAGTATGTGAGTAAGTGCACTACCCCATTCAGGGTATGACCTCATTTGCTATTGCTCGTTGATGCAGCTGATTACTGTGGTGTCTGATTGGATAAGTAGCTGTGTATGATGCATGGATGCAGACTGAAAAATGGACACATTTAACTGGAACAGGAAATGGTGAATGATGTGAATGGAGACCTACGTATGGATGGGTGGGCTGAAAAGAGAGGATCGGCGGGGGGGCAAAAAAAGAAAGAAACTCAAAGTGGTTACTATTAAATGTTTAATCATTTAAAAAATAGGGTGTTCTCTCAGTGCAAGTGCTGAGCAATATTGATTTGTTACGTTTATGTACATGACTGTCTTGTACAAACAGAGGATGGAAATGATGGAACAAGAGCAAGTGACAAAGCTGAGGGAGACAGGTGACGTGAAACAGGAGAAAGTGAAAGGCAGGGAGGAGGAACGGCTTCAGAGGCAGCCAGGCTATGGAAAAACAGCAGAATGGAGGGCCAATTGTTTTCTTCACTGAAATCAACCACAAAAAGAGAACACTTTATTAGGTCAATTAACAAAATTACTTGATATATATTTATATATCTAAAGTGCATTATGTTACAAAAATATAGAAAGTCAGCAGCACCGTGATACATTTACAAAATAAATACACCATTCAAACAAAATAAATTACGCAAATCTGACATTTATAATTGGCGTACCCCTAACAAAAAAGGAAATATTCACAAAGACCAACATCTGAAGCTCCATGGAGCATTAACTAAGGTTTATTACTGTCATAATTATCATTGTTCAGATGCATTTCAGATATTTACAAACAATAAATATTTTCCTTATTACTCTCCAAACAATCACTATTACAGAATACTGCAACATGAGTCTGTAGGTGTCCGGTTCAAATGTCTTTAGGTATCTGCAAAGAGAAGAGAAAAAGGGCATTTAATAGCTTGAAATAATGTATTCCTTCACAGAGAATCATTTGGATCCAACACTAAGAATTCTCCATTCTGAGGAATCGTATGCAACTGACATGACTCGAACTATGAAACCAGCGAAACACCAACACCCTATTATCATCATAGGCAAAAAAAATCTCCCAATACACTTATAAATTACATCTGCCATCAATTAAACACCAACACGATAAAAGGCAGGGGGTGTCAGCCAATCACAGGACACATGGATACAGTCACACTCACACACAGTCACAGAGTCACACACACTCACACACAGACACACACTGCGGGATATGGAGGCATTTCTTGTCCCTGCGACCCCGACTAGGTTGGAAGATGGACTGATCGATCGATTATTTAAAATCAATCAGTTAATTGTGTATTTGGCATGTACTGCTGCAAGCCTAATTTTCTAGGTCCAAGAACCTGTCTGAACCCAAAAGTAAATCCCACAGTAATCCCAATCCATCCCAGATGCATAGGGAAGCAGAAGAGACATCAATATCCAAGGGATGCTGCTTATCACATATCTGACCTTTATCTTCAAGGTCAAGAAAATCTAACTTTCCTGGTCAGATACGCATTACAGGACAGAACTAGGTTACAGGACAGAACTTATTATAAGGGCAGGAAGGTGATACAGTGGCAACAGTGAGTAGCACTGTTGCCTCACACCAATACGGTTGTGGGGGTAAATCCCACTTTGACAGTGTGTGAGGAGTTTGCATGTTCCCTGTTTTTGTACTTGGTCTTATATGTCTATTCTGGTCTTCCCCCACACTCCAGAAAATACCATTAGACTAACTGATATCTCTGTTGCTCATAATTTTTGAGTGGTTGCCATGTAATGGACCAACTTCCTGTCCTGGGTGTCCTCCAGATTAGTTCACTGTAGTGAATTAGTATTGAGTATTAGATTAGTATTTGGTGAGCAGTCTGGAAACTGCACGGCTGGATACTGGGACCAATCCTAATAAAGTTCCATAACCAAAGCACTTTGGTGTTACGCAGTTTCAGAAGACGGTTACCTTTGTCAGAAACTGACGGCGTCTTAGTGCAGCGCCCCCTGCAGGCGTAAGTGTGACCTCCACTCCAGGTGGGGGCCAATCTCAAGCTGGTGATTGCTGAGCGATCGGGCCCGCCGCTTCCTCTTCTCACTCTCCCTCCGTTTCCCCGAGCGCCCCTTCTTCTTCTTCTTGCCGGCCACCTTCAGTGGCTGGTCCTTGTATGTCTGCGACTTATTGGTCTCCTGAGGCAGGTTGGTTCCTTCCTCGTCCACTGGGAAGCCCATGGGGTAGTTCTTGGTGCTGCCAGCAGGCTTGGGGTGCAGGGTGCTCCCACTGATCCCAGTGCTGATCCCGGAGCTACTGCCTCCGCTGCTGTTGCCCCCACCGCCCCCGCCGCGTGCTGGAAGCTCACGGACCTCCGCCGTGTGCACCTCGTCCAGCAGCTCCTGCAGCCACATGCGCCGCTTTAAGTCCTGCAGCGTGCGGCCCCTGTCGTGCATCAGCTGGGCGTGGGTCACGGAACGCTTCCTGCATAAGAGCAACAGCAGCACGTCAGCTTTGTGTGCAGGATCCTGCCGTTTTAGTATTGGCAACCACCTGATTGCCCCTCGGGGACAAATAAAGTTTTTTTTATTTGATTTGATTTGATGATTTAAATAGAATAGAATTCATCTTTATTGTCATTGATAAACAATGAAAGACTGTTTAGCAGACATCATAAAAAACATAAATGTAAACAACAAAACACAGTGATGTAATATATACAGAAGTAATAGTGCAAAATGATAATATAAAGTGCTGTTTTTAATCAGTTAGTTTTGGTTCTGATTGCTCTGAATCTACACTATCTGACCCTCACATGGATTGTGACACACCGCTGGTCTCCGAAACTGTATGTAAGAAGAATTTCTACAGGCCTTTCAACAAACAAAAGCACAATGAACTGCAACCATTGCAATGGCTTCCAGTAGCAGAGTGGTGTAAGACTGGGAGGAGGGGGTGTTTCGCACTCATGACTTCTAGCTTAAGTTAAGCCAGCTAACTGAGAAATCCTTCTTCGTGGAACACTCCCAGGGGCCCTAAATATGAATACCAATGAACTAAAATAAGGGTGTTTTTTCAAAGTTCCACCAGCAGGACCAAAACCGGTACAACCTTCAAACTGTTAGTTTTGATCTAATTTACCGTCTTTTTAAATATGAATCCCGAACTCCTTAGAATTTGTCCAGGTGCTTCTGATAAAATGTGGTTTTACTTAAAGTAATCAAGGCGTACAAAATGCTGGCTGGGCCCCATTTACTATTTGATATTATATTTATCTTAAATTGACTCAGCTCCAAGTCCTTGCACCTAAGTAAAATAAATCCAGGGAGATTTCTAACACGGCTGGAGCCCGTGCCCACGCACAGAACTGCCCCACATTTATGCTCCCTGCTCGCGCTTTAACGCGCTGCATGATGCTCCTAAGTTACAAGCCACGTTCACAAAATGAAGCAATATTCGCGCGTTTCAATAAAAAACCCTGATAGACGTGTTGTCGGGCACATCGGCTGAAATTGTTCTCAGTGTTTCTTTATTATTGTATGTGAGCATTCCGTTTGAGAGAATTATGAAGTTAAGCAGTATTTCTTCGCGATATCGTGTGTGTGGACTATGTATATTCAGGTCCCCACAAAGATTTGTGAATGCAATCAAAAAAGTGAATATGCCAAGAGTCTCGTATTTAGTTTGGTTACTTATGGTTAAGGTTAGGGCTGGGTGGGAGTTATGGTCGTCATGTTGGGATTAGAGATTTACCCATAGAAATGAATGGTGAATTCCAGAAATATACAATTACAAACCTGTGTGTGTGTGTGTGTGTGTGGAAAGAACTCTTAATGTAACAGAATTTCTATAGTGATATAGTTTTAGTTAATATCAGATACATTTGTAAATATATTATTTGTAGAGCAGGCAAGTATAGGGTAATAAACACTGAAATCCCACATTTCTGTTTGTTTTCGGTCCAAATGCCTTGAAACAATTATGTGATTCAGGACGTGACTTTTGAAGAATGCTGGGATGAAGCACCGGGCAGCCAATAGGCTACTTCTCAAATACCCCCTTTTGGAATGGCAAAAAGAATGCTGCATTTACAGTTTTACTGTTACTTAATAACTAAAGAATCTTACCTACATTTACCAATAGGTGGCAGTAGAAAAGAAGAAATATTTCGATCCTATACTTCAATTTGTTGTTTTTAAACTGAATATGTGTAATAGCGTTATGTTTAAAAATGTGCTGAAAGAGAAATGTTAAAACTGGAAACCTATAAAAATTAGACACAACTGCTATTTTACAAGCTTTACTGATATCCTTTGAGGTCATAACATGAGGGACAACAGAATGACAACTATATAACTTATATATAACTTAAGACTTATTTAGGCCTTTTTTATTTTGTACTTTTGCTCCTCTGTGTTTCTCTAATTGACCTGCTTCACACTTAGAAGCACTGCAGTGAAGTTTATGTGCTATTACTTAGCCATGCGCTGGTACATAAGTATTACTGTTAAAAAGTGCCGTTTTTGCCAGGGACCAGCTTGCTCAATTAATAACTGCCACTGGAGCTGTGAAAGGGGCACGTTTGTGCGCCGTGACTAGGTAATGTGGTAGTTGCACCAAGCTGATGTCACCTTAGCTGTCAGGAAAGTGAGTTACACAATGTACACGACGACGAATGAATCAAGCATATTCAACAGCCATCCACAGCGTGGCTTACTTACTCAGCGCTAGAGAAAGCATTTAAGTTGCACCACAGAGCGGTCCCCTCTGAGTGTTCCTTGCTTTATGAGACAAATATATTTTCCCGGAAACTTCAGCAAATTCAGTTATTATTTACTATTAGGCTTATTATTTTATATACCTATCCAACAACTGGAATTGAAATGGTTCTTACAATATCTCAATATCCTCACATGAGCATATGCTAAAAAATTATTAGCATAAAATGACTTGACCAGAACTTCCAAAAATAAGGTTTTCCTGATGTCTTGGAATTTTAAAATGAATTCATTTCGAGGCTTCCAGCTGGTCCATCAAATTACTTAAGAATGAAAGGTCAGGTGATTAATTGTTCTACTTTATTCGTTTAGACGTTTTTTATACCATGTATGCATTTACTACAAATGAGAAATATATTATTTTATATCTGAATTCCAGATTAACTGTAAAAAATGTTGCCGTAATATTAGAATTTTGCTTCTTTTGGAAAAATATATGGAAAAATGTCCCTGCTCTCATGGGAGAATTACCAACCATATGATCAGATGATTAAATTAATAGGGTAAAACATAGTAATTGCTTTCTAAAGAGGGTTAAGCAAATGTAAAATGACATTTTACCTTTAATGAAAAAATACTATTAAAATATGAAACTTCACTAGCAGCAATCAAAAAAGAGAAAACTATTTTAGCAATGTAATATATTTCACATAGTTCTAAAAGAGATAAGTACCTATATTTAATGTTAAAATGTTAAAAGCCGGTGACATTTATGTTAATCTGTATTACACTCTGCTTTTACCCTCTGTTACACTATTATTATGCTGTGTCACACTGTGTTTTTACCCCCTGTTACACTGTGTTATTATGCTGTGTCCCATTGTGTTATTGCACTGTCACACTGTGTTTTGTACGCTGTGTTACATCATATTTTAACCTGCCTGGGATCTTTGCATGCACCTACAGCTTTACACATCACTCCTTTGATGTGCTGGCATTCAAGTTAAATTAACCAAAACCGAGGCTCTTCCTCAGTGGTGAACCTGCCCTGATTTGAAGGCAGATTCAGTCCTGTAACCACTGCTCTGCTTGTGGCCCATTGGAGTCTGGTTCTAGTCACAGAGATGGAGGTGTGAGAGTGCAAAGGAGCACAGAGTGGATGGGAACTAGTCCTGGGCTGTGGTGTCCTTTCTCCAGGGTAAAGCTTTCTTTCCACACTTTCTGGTTACACTGCTCCAGTTTCTGGGGAAATGCAAACGCCGAAAGCCCGAACTGTGCCGCTGCTCCCCATATACATGAAAACTGAGAGTGTTTGAAGGACACGTCAGTTATCACCGTCCAACTGGAAACACATAAACACGAATCGTAATCGATGACAACTGTTTAGACTGAGCGGCCGCCTAATGGATCTGAGTGAACTTGTCATAGGCACTTAGGGTATGTAAAAGCAGCAGTTGTAACATGTGAAGGGAGTCCTTTTTGGTACTCAGGATTAAAGTTAGTTTATTGAGTTTCAAGGGTGGAGTGGTGTGTGTAGGGGGAAATGTGGTCTTTGATGGAATGTAAGTGCTGTGATGGGGATATTGGTGATTGTCTGACAGCAAAGGTAGAGCAGTTTACCCAGATGTGAGCTATGTAAATATGCAGAAAATTAGTTTATGAAACGGTTTATTAAGTGACATAATAATAATAATAATAATTGTTCTTTACCTAAAATGTATGGATTTACATAGTAGTCCTTTAGCCAGAATTGCCAACTCTCACGCACTTACCCATCTGGTGTGACATTCACGCTTTCAGACTCTCACGCAAGAAATCTTATGGCAAATCTATATTATTCCCATATAAACATAAAATTAGCTACATCAAAACCTTTGGGGATGTTTGCAAACCCTACAGAATATTTACAAGGTAATAAAACTGTCACATACATGTAAATGCATGTGCACGTGTGTGAAGACTTGTCTCGAATTGATAATCTCACTCCAGCCAGCTGACCAAAGTTGCCAACCCCAGTAAACATTTATGAACATTTCTGAATGCTAAAATGATGCTCAGATCGGTTTCAGAGACTGATACATTTAAAATTGTTCTTTTAACCTTCAACAAGTTTACAATAATAAGTGTAATCGGCATCCCGAGGTGGCAGGTCGCCAGCGGTTATTATTTTTGGCATACCGTAAGTTAATTGTTCCTTTATGCTGCTTTAAAAACGCACCACGCATTTAATGTGACCACAATGCGCATAACTTCAGTCGTCTCCCTCCCTCCCTCCCGCTGTCTGTTTGAACTTCTTTTTCAAAGCTGGCGGCGGGTCAAACCAAACGTTTATGTGACTCGTAACGCCGCCTGGCCCCCCGCCAGCGACATCGATTTTCGAGCGCCGGTTTCATTCCCATGCAGCGTAAACTGCAGGCTTTTCCCCAGCCAGAGACAGGCGGAGTGTGACTCTACGTCTCATCCTGCGCGGTGCCCGTGGAGCGACGTTGCACTGCGAGCAGCGACAGGCGGCGCACCGCCCGCTCGTTCATTCGCGGAGTTTGGCCACATCTTGGGACACTTGCTTTGAAAAATCAGCAGATCCCATGTTCAAATCTACAGACAAATGATTTCTCATAAAGCAACAAGGCTAGATTAGTATGCAGTTGAATAAGGGTAAATGCATTTTTTTGTAACTACCGGTCTGTGAAAATTATGGAGACGTACAACGTGGGGCATATATTTAAATAGAGATGAAGCCAGAGATATATAGGTTATGCCCAGTGATTCAAATTTTCACAAAAAAAATAATTACAAAATAGACAAGTAAACTAGGCCATAGATTAAATCAACTTCCATCTGCTTAAACCTGTCTGATAACTACAAACAGCAGATTCCATCTCATTTGTAAGGCATCTTCTGTGGTATCTCCTGAGTTGCTCAGTGAGCCGTGCGTGGGCGCAGGGGAGACCACACTGCAGGCAGGCCGGCCACCAGCAGGTGCATATGCCCCCACACATCAAGTGGCACATTGCTTCCAGAACTTTCCCAGTGCATCATAAGCTATGGGAGCATAGGTTAGCTTCCTGCTTATCAGAACAACACAGGTTGGATTTTTCGGGGTCTGACCTGCACGTGTCTGGGCGTTACGCAGCTGACAGAGACTCTGCCCTCTCAGAGAAATCCCAGCAGCTCGAACCACCATAACAAAATACATTTCAGATGTGACCGCAGTGTGATCAAATTATGTGCATTCTGTTGTACTAGCCTTTTTTACTTGAAAGTTGAAACATTGAAACATAACATTTGTTTTTGAGTGGCAAGCTTTGTGGATGTTGCCGGTTCTTCTGGATAGAAACCTATGAATCTATTAGCGTTTTTGCAGAACAGCTAATCCTCCCTGCTCAGGGTAGACTCTGTCTTTACAAACTAACATGAAATCCCCCTGCACATATTTCCATTCAGATTTGCCTGGATGCATTTCATAATTTGCAGCACTCCTGTTTTTGAATTCCTCTCTAGCTTGGTCCACTGCCTAACAGAGCATCAGTGATACTTTCACCCTGTATCAGACTTCTCCTGAGTACAGAGTGGACGGTGCCAGGACATATGTGGGCAACCAGATGCCCAATCACAATGTATAGGTCCATACGTGAGAAGAACAAGTAAATAAATCAGTTTCTGTCTTCAGCAGACAATGTAACACCATGACTCACCCCAGCGACAGGAGAATTATGCTAATAATGTAAAACATATAGAAGGACATTATAAAATTATTTGCTTTGGAATTAAAATAAAATAAAAAAAACTAATTAGAAATTCATTGGAATTAAATTAAAACAACTGATGACACATATACTGAATGAGTGTCTTTATCTTAAATTCAAACGTAACTGATAAAAAAAAACCTTGCAAACACCTGCTTCTTAATTTCTGAAATAGGTATTATAAGAACTTAATAAAAACTGGGATTTTAATTAAAAATCATATTCCCGTATAATAATAATAATAACAATTACATTCAGTGCAGAGTCATAGTCAGTCAAAATGGAATAGACAAACAGAGACTTACATTCGGTCACTGAGAGCATCAATAGGTCTCCCAAAGTGAGGAACTGGGGAGCAGAGGAGGAACAGAGCGAAACTCCACTGCTGAAACAATCTTCTGGAGCTGAGCATCCTGCAACGAGGAAATAGAATATCCCATTAGTCAAAAGTGCAGTATTTATACAACACGACACGGCAGCTAACTGATAAACATCTGCTATTATTAGCTTGTGTGGCAGAGCAGATCAAACAGTTTTATGTGATTATTTAAGTCAGTAGACCACAGTGACTACAGGATGACAGTAAAAATTCCATCCTTCATTGCTGTGATGTTTCTAGTAATTAACTTGTGACAGTAAATAAGTTATTAAATGAAACCACTACAAAATTATCCAATGAACATGTTCCTCGCATGGAGATTCTTACAAGTTGCCTGTCTGGACTGCATGACTGGAGGGATTATTAAACTTAATCACATCCAGTATTTAAAAAAAGGTGCCCCAGCATGCCTGATATAGTGCAAAAGCCACGAGGCACTCACAGAGAAAAGCCAGAAAGGAAAACAGGAGAAGGACTTACTTCTCTAAAGAGCAATTTCACAAAGTGTTTGGTCAGTCCCTTCTTCAGACTCCTGTAAAGAGAAAAGGCTGCGGTAAGTTTCCAGGCAGAAATGACACAAAAGACGGTTCTAGGTCAATCCAGGTGATTATCCCCCTGTAAAAATAAATGGAGAGGATTACGCCGAAAACTAGGTGTGGGAAAAACCCCACCAGAACCAATCCGCAGCCTCCTCTTCCCCAGTATCCGCATGTGTAAGACGGCACACTTACTTTCCTCAAACTTTCCTGGAAGGGAAAAAAAGAAGAAAAAAATGAAGCTGAAGTGATCGATAGCTGTCCTGCTGTGTCTGTCTGTGGCTGCTGGCCACTCTAGTTGTCCTGCATGGAGGGGGCTGCGGATCTATCTCTTTGGCCGCTCTGCAGTGGGACCGGCAGCAACGGCAGCTGGAGCGTTTGTGATGGGAACGTTAGCAGCATGCTTGTCTGTGCTCTTCTGAGAAGCCGGCAGCCTTTTGAGAAGAAGCCTGAGAGCTGCCCCTGCTTGGGATCCCACTCCTGAGAGCCACGAGCGACAAGAAGGTGGCGCCCACGCGGCATCCAGACGCTGGCGCACAGGAGGAGCGGGAGAGGGGTGTGAGTGGCATGACGGGGGTG